TTCCTTTTTTTGTGAAAGTTTCTCTTCACTGATTGTATGCTATAAATAATTTATTTGTTTTAAAATCTATTCACATTTCTTCACATTGAATTTTAAATTCACACTGTAATGTTACTGTGTTTATAAATGTATTGGTTTCTGCTCATCAAAATTTTCCATGCTTCAAAATACATTTTAGGTAGGCTGGAAAAAAAGAGTACAACAATGTTCTATAAGCTTGCAAAATGTGGTGACACAACAATGCAGTAACAACAACAACAACAAAAAAAGCCATCACTTTAAATGACCAGAGACCAGACCTTCTCTGTAAGCAGGCTTCTTCTTGTCTTCCACCTTTTCTTCTATTTGCTGTCATCTTTTTTATTCACTCCAGATGAGCAGGAGAAAGCTGGCACAGTGTTAAGCTCATGAGTTTAAAAAAAAACAAACCCAAAAGCCAACAGAAAACTCCTTCAAAGTTATTTTTCTAAACTCCCTGTAGTTCACCAAACATCCAGTACTGCAAGATTTTTCTTCAGCTGAACTGTGGTGCTTTTAATGCCTCACTGATTCAAAAAGATATTACCCTTCCCCCTACTGGAAAATGCTGAGATAATGGAGAAACAACTATTTCTCCCATATTTTCAAACTGCCATTAGCTTGTTCTTGTTGATTTGGAGCACTAGTCCTGATTTTTAACAGAATAGATTCTTTAATAAGTTTTCTGTTCCTCATTTAAGGGGAGAGCACTGCAATGAAACTGGTCTAGAGAAATATTTTTGTGCAAACATCCATCACTCTTTCCTTTACAACAGTTACCTATTGCAGTACCTGCTAGAGCTGCTTGTTACCATTTTGCAGTTCTTATTTCTTTCCTTTGTATTTCCTACTCACAAGCAGTTAGGAAACAGACACACACCGATTCTGGCTTCATGTTCCCCCAAAAAATCAGCAAATAGTTGTTCTGACACACAGGTTACCAAGGGTTCCATCACCTGCTCCACATGATCATTGGGAATTCTCTCTTGCTGGGCACTACCCTCAAGTAAATAGGAAGGATGTGCACCTCACTGCAGTGAGAACTGAAATTTGCCCTCAGTAGACAGCTATTGCTGAGACCCTTGCAACTGCTTGGGGAACTGCTGCAAAGGGATGTTGAGAAAGAATTTACTTAGTGTGAGCTTTATTTTAGAAGAAAATTAAGAACAGTATTTTTTTGTGTGCTATTTTTAAAAAACTTATTAACCAATAAGAACCCCCTAAATTATCTTCTGTTCATCTATTATTTCAATTCCTTAATCTTTCTTTTTAAAATAGAAAGTTCAGTGGTAACCTTACTACACAGTCCCATGTTTTACCAACACTCCTTTTAGATTTTTAAACATGCTTGGCCATGCCCAAGCAAATGCCTTTCTTATCTACTATTATGAAGTGGCAGCTAAACTGTCATTAGTACAGATTAATTTTATATAAAAAATGCAGGAGTTATCTTTGTACCTTGAAGCCTTGTCCCACCCACTTCATGTATCTATTTGCTTAAGTGTGAGGCTTCCAGTAAATTATGTCAATACTTTGTATTGTCCCATATTCAGCCCTTTTTATTGCTATTTTTGATATTTAAATATTTCCCCATATAAACTATCTCCTTCTGTTTGTTACACATGTGAAGAACAAGATTTGGGTATTTTTGTTTGCTTGTTTTCACTTACATAAGTTTAATTATTCAATAGTTTAACAAAAAGACATAATAACAAAATGAACAGGCTTGCACTTACATATTACTCAATTTCCACCCTCCTCACAAGCGGCTGTCTTCAATTCTGCTTGATTGTTTCAAAGAAATGGAAGATCTAAGTCAAATTCCAATTCATATGTGGACAGGAAAAAGTACCAAATATGAGAGGACTATTTCAGTTATTTAGTTATAGTGCCATAACTGTTTCTAAATGTTATTGGAAATGGAGGCTGAGGATTATGTCCAATCTATTTTAACTCAAGGTCAATAGTGGCTTAAAATCAAAAGGATACAAGAAGTCCCTTAAATACATTTAGACTGTCAGTACTGGAATGGTGGTCATCATCTGAGGAATGATGTTCTTGAAGAGCCTCTCAAACTGAAATAGTGAGGAGGCAAAAATCTTAACTATTTTAAAAATGGAATGTGTGAGTGGGATTATATGATAACATTCTCTGTGCCTGTTAACCTTTTGATAATAAAATTACTTGACATTTAAGCCACCCCTACCAGAATACTGGCATATATAGTCAATGTAACCTTGCCTGCTGCTTTACTGGAAATAATTAGAGATCAGATACTTTAACTATTGGCTGCAAAGTAGCCTGAAGTGTGCTGATCCAAATAAAAGGAGCTTATTATGGTAAACATGGTGAATCAGTGCCCCAGAAGCTGAGATTGCTACCATCCACGGTAAGATTTTCTTCCTCGTGACTGTAGATGGAGCCCTAACATAAGCAAATACTCTCCTGGCAATACAAGTTTGGAATTTCGTAGAATATATTGAGGCTTTTCAGCATTTTCACTTATTGAGATTTTAATTTTCAGAACAAACAATATGAGAGGCCCACTGTTTTTCTGGTTTCTCAATACGCCAAACTGATTCAGCTCTCCTCAAAAATCCAGGAAGAAAGAAAAGCAGTTGCTCAACTTTTATTCTGTCCTGCAATTATCATCTAATCTAACCTTCTCTAACAATTCCTCTGCTTAAGGGCACCTCTAGGGTTGTCAGACCAGCTGAATTCATTTAGAAAATGAAATCCAAACCTGGCTAGTCTTATTCATCCCCTGCACCCATTATTCCTTTTATAATTTTATGCTACTGTACTAAAAGGCAAGGCAACAGCACATTCTGTGGATTTTATTGTATTACATATAAAACATACAGCTGAAATATGACTTGTAAGTTTCTTGGTGAAGAAGGAGGGGTCTCAGCACCATCTGACTGAAAGATGTTAGATGAAAGAGGAGCTATTTATAGGAGTAAAATATGTCTACAGTTATTACTGTGGCTAACAATACAGGGTTCACCAGTATAATTAATCCTTTCCTTCTTATAATTCACTTGTTCAAAAAATGAAGTATCTTATGATTCCTTGCAGCAAAACAAACAAAAACTTTCACAAAACAAATAAGCAGAAATATCAAAACAATATATTCTTTCATAGTTCTCAAGACATTTTGTCTGTTTTACACTTTAAGAAACAATTGGTGTTGTACAAATGTTCTGGAAGATAAACAGATAAGCAAGATATTGGATTGCTAGTTGGCATTTAGGACTGAAAACAGAGTTGTAACAACCACAGGCAGTTTTAGAATACTACTATTTCTTTATTATTATTTTATTTTTAAAAGCTAGTGAAAAACCTTCATTTTATATCATGGTTGGCAAATCTCACTGGTTCTAAAAGCTGCACATCAAACAGTTCATGTGGCCAAAAGCCACTCTCGAGAGTCAGAGGGAGAAAAAGGAAGAACCAGCACAGTCACAGGTAGAAAGCAGATATGGGGTGCACTGTGGGATGGGACTGGGTCACTTCACTCCCTCTGAAGTTCACAGTTTAAGGAAATCACGAGCCCATTGCCTTCTATATTGCCATGGCATAGCTGCTCGACCAACCCTCAAACACATGTGAACCACAGGTGACTTAAAAGACAGCTATCACCTGCAAATATTTTATATTCCTTAAGTTATGTGAAATGAATAGATACATGAGTTTATTTTGAGACTGAGGCTAACTTCTGGTAAGCATGTGTGAAACTCACAATTTCACATGCAGAACTGTCAAAACACTATTTTTTCGTACATGTTCATGAAATGAAATTTCTAATTGTGCAGTAAAGCTGTACAATTATCAGCTCATGTTACATTACATACTGATAGAACCAGTATCTCAGTCTGAACCAGGCACTACTTCCAGCTTCAATACACGGACACTGAATATAGACACAAAAGCTGAATTTAAACTAGAATTCAAACTAGTGTTTAGTTAGGTCAATTACACTTGCTATGCATTTCATATAAATTGTATATTTAATATCAGTAATTGCCATGAAGATGATTTTCAGACTGAAAATTATTTGCTGATTCAATTAACATGTTATGTTAATATTAGAAACTCTTGGGAATATCTAGGTTTATTGCATGCTAATGGATTCTCAGACAATAAATATGATATATCCGATTAATTATAAATAGTTTCTTTCAGTTGTACTTGGACAACAAATGTACCTAAGTACTTAAATGTACTATACAGATTTGCACTTTATTTTGTTAATTTGCCTTACTTTGGAACCAAATACTTTGTAGTAATTTATAAAAGACAAAATTGTCTATAGGGAGAAGTTTGTTTTTTTAACCAAGGAGTTAAGAGTTATTTTCTTATCACTCAGAAAATTTGCCTAAATGACTGATAATAACAATCCTAGGATTTTTTAATTACTTTATTTAATTATAAGACAGAGGTATCTGGTAATTTTTACATATAATTTTTTTAACTCAAGGAAAAACAGCCTGTACAGAAAAATGATATTAAATTTAGTCTATCCAGATGCTGAGCTGTGCTCCAAGCTATACTGTATGAAATATCAAAGATGTCTGTGTGTTTTATTTAAGCAAAATTTCTCAGGTTCTACTTGATTAAAATAAAATTAAGTTGCTTTTAAAAACTAACCTGTCCAAAAGATGCCCAGTATATTCCTGTGTGAGCTGTTTGTCGTTTTAATCTGTAATCACTTATACAATACTGTCTAATAGAAGTACATACTGTTTAACATCAAGAGATCTATTTAACTCTCACTCTTTATAAAGATAAATACAGAAATGAGCAGAGAGAAAGTGAAGAAAATAGGTTAGATCTGTCCTATGGTGACAGAATCAATATATTTAAACCAGCACAACATAGTTCAGAGAACTCCCCTAAGAGCTCCAGTGTTTTTGAGCAGTTATTTGAGCTTCTGCTTCATTATGTGGATCACATACAGGAAGTAAGGAAACTGGATTTACCTGCAGTATCTTTGGGTACCTGTTGACCCCCAGACTGAATCATTTATCTGCAGCTTTCAAACCCTGCAGCAAATACATTACATAATTAGGTGTAACAAGATAATCTCCTATTTCAAAGAAATTCATTAACCAAGTGAAAGAATCCTCTAACTAAAACAGTTAGAGCAATGCATTTTATTAAGACCAACATGCTATTTATTTATTTCATAACTCTGCTAAGGCCTTTTTAAATATATGACAGTATAAATCTTTTTCTGGTATTCTGGCTTACATTAGATAACCACTTTTGGATTTTATGCAAGACATATGGAAAAATCCATCACTGATTTACTGCACATTTCCACACACAGTCAAACTAATATCTGATCACTCTGAAAGATGCAAAACCCTGCTTGGCAGTGAATACTTAAGCAAATTTCCTAACACATGGGTATGCACAGTCTTGTGCAAGAAAGCTTCTGATAGTCAAAATGCAAACCAATAAACTACAGTATGTACTGGGAAAGATAACAACAAATAAATAATTGGGATTTATTTTCACTTCAGAAACTACTGCAACAGAAGCAACTGCAATAAAATTAAAGCACTGCAATAGCTACCTCCAATACTATGTATAATGGATTCTGAGTTTTATAATTATCCATAAGAAACACCTTGAGAACTTTTTCTTTTTTTCTGATAGCTCTAGAAGATGGCAGTTTTGAATGTTAGTCATGAAGATGAATCTTTGGGTGTCAATGAAATCTTTTTAATTCTATTCATTGTTTTGGGTGACTGTTTGCAATTATACATACTGATGCCTCCAGGAATAAAAATTGAATACTCTACCTCAGCATTGTTTTCAAGTTTTTGTTCTAAACTAATTTTTTAATATATTTCAGATAGGTCCACAAGGCCAGTTTTAGTATTGCCACAACAGGTGGAATGACCTTTACCCCACTCCTATTTTACAACGTGTTTTGTGAGACTCTTGATACTTTATTTCAGACCCCATTAGGAGGAAAATACTGCAGAAGTTACTGTTTTCTGAAAGCAAGATTCAATTATTTTCACATTTCATTACAGACAAACCTAATAATTTTCAGTTCATCCGAAATCCATCCTCTCTTTAAGGACATAAGCATTTTTGTTTATTGGGGAAAAATAAACAAGAAAACAAAACAGAGGCTGTTAATCCTAATTTTGGAAATGTTTAACTGCGGGGCATAGTTCACAGATGGTTTTGCATCTTCAGTGCTTTTGTGGGCAGTATAGTTAATTCTGATTATATGAAAATGGCAAGACAACATGGGGGAAAATACCTCAGAAAGTTTTTTGAGGTAAAATGGCAATAAGGAGAAACCTTTCTTCAAGAAGCAGAATCAAGTATAACCCACTTTGATGAGCACAGTCCCCTTGAACAAAGGAGGACCCCACTGGAACAGAGCATTTGAAAAGCAAAATCATGCCTTTTGATAGATACTTTCTGTCGTGAACACAGTAGTTAATCCATTTTTTTAGCAAGATTAGCTGTCAGATTAACACATCACCGATGGGAGTCAGAGTTAGTCTAAACCAAGGATGTGCCTGAAGAATGATGTGCACCCACATGAAGGAGGGTTTACAGAGGCTGACTTACAACACCACTGTGGAATGCAAACCCTTTTTGCTTTTTTCCTTTTTTTTTTTTTTTGCTAATGCTGACCAGAGCTCTACAAACAGCCATTCTCAATCGCTGTATCATGCTGAGTTGATACAAGCCTTGATGTGGATTTTAACATCCATATGTAGGCCTTGCATCTGCCACACACATCCAAGCATTAACTCCAGGGTCTCTATTGTTCTGGACAATATACATTGGTGTGTTAAAGAATTTACTTCATCAAAGTGCTCCTTAAATACACTGGTTTTATCCATTCAGGAGCATTTGAATTCTTCTTGAAAGCCAAGTTTAAGTACATTTAATTTCATAATAGAACAGGATATGATCTGTGAACAGCATATTTTCCTATGAATCAAGGGAGCAGAATCTTTCTCAAGCAGCTGATAGCTGTCAATATTCAATTTAAAAAATACATGCTGAGCATATGGACCTATAGTTATATCTCTCAGACACCAGGTAAAAAAATACAATAGGAGTAATCTCATCTGAATTCAATGATGAGTCATTTGGAATAACTTGCTTTTGGAGACGTCATATAAAAGATTGCACTACAATATGTGGCTGCAATTTAGTGGTAAAGGTCTTTCCTCCACAAATATTTTCTTTCACAATTTTATTTTACTCTCTACTCTTACTCTATTTTTCACCCCTCAGCAGGCCAACAAAGCCCCCTTTTTGCAGAGCTGGTATCTGTATCTTTTTGGAACCTTCCAAAGTTAATAAGGAAGCTAAATGAAGGCAAAGCCTCCTCTGAGACAAGCTTTGCTCCAACACATGAAGATTTGGCAAGAAAAGAAAGCCTTGCTATGGAAGCTCCTTAGAAGACAAGTCACAGCCCAACATTCCAAGTGGTGTCTGAGGGATTTGAGACTTTTGTGCATAGTCAATATTTGCTATCTATTGGAGAAGCTAAAAGTGAAGAAATAAACTTTCATTTTCTTGCCTCAGCTCTCTGTATTTGGCCATGAACTCTCTAAACAGTCGTGGCTGATCCTGCACATGGGCCAGCTGGTCTCTGAGGGCAGCCCCACGTGTGACAGAGCCCAGGACAGAACATGAATGTTACCTTTAGAATTAAGAACACCCAACTGCCGTTTGAGCATAGCTCACAACTACTGAGCACCAGAAGAACTGTAGGAGTTAGCAGATTTAACTCTAAAAAACAGCAACGAAAACGACAACAAAAAATCCCCTAACAACCCAAAAATGTTTGTATGAACAACTTCATTAAGGAATTGAATACACTCAGAAATGAGCAATTATCAGATTTTAGACCGCTGGAAACAGAACAGATGATTTCACATGGTCTTTTGTATCAACACACTTCTTTTAGACAATTTACCAACTCAGGTCAAAAAGAATTCTTAAACTAGTTTTTTAAAAAATTGAGGCAAAGAGCATATTAAACAAGCAATTTGAAAATACAAAAAGTGTGTTCAAGTGGGGCACCTGGTCTTGGTTTTAAAGTGAAGTACACAATATTAACACAACATGACATACTCTTTGTCAAGGAAATGCAATTTTTGATTGCATGAGAGTTAGTTCAAGTCCTAAGTCTCTTCAAGGTAACTAAAAAACTTCATAGGAAGAAGCAGGTGAAATTCCAATTAAGTTTTATTCTAATAATCCACACCCCGTGCACTGTAATAGGTAAAGAGTGAGGAAACTGTTTGAGGCCAAGTGTTTACAATCTTATCAAAAACAGGTCATTCAACATATCCAGCTAATTGATACAGATGCCTCACCTATTTTGCATTTTCTCCAACACTAATAATCCCAGAGTCAATAAATTAAAAAACAATAACAGAAGCAGCAAATGTTCTGTTTTACAATTTCCTCAATTCACCAGGAAACTCAAATCCCTTTTAGAACAAGATGAGATTCAGTATTGCCCTATAACTTAAGACTAGTAGTTCCTACATCAAGCATTTATCTCCACAGAGAGAAACAATAACTACTAATTCTATTCGTTCTTTGTTCTAAAAATGAATTATTGACAGAAATATTATCTCAGTACAAATGCTGATGTTATTTCAGACTGATAAATGAAGATAGTTCCTGCCCCTTTATTTTATCTCCAAAGCACCAGTGTAAAGGTGGGGAATCATCTGATTTAATTTAGAAGATAATAAAATAGTAGAACAACAGATGAGTAATGAAAACTGACAGGTTTTGTATGTGTTTGAAGTAAAGGATCTTTTTGTCCAGTAGAAATGCTGTTTGAATTGTTTCCTCTTATTTCACTTTAAATTTCAAAACAACATTCTTTTCTAAGTAGACAATAGAAACCAAAGCAAGAAACTGTATTAAATAAATCTCTAAAAATCTAACAGGCTTCAGGCTATGCTGTACTTTTTCTTTCAAATATTTCCACGTAAAATCAGATGTTAACTCTCTGAGTGAACCCATGTGCAAACTCTTTATTCATCAGATTAATGGCTGTGGAGCAACAGGCAACTGAACACATTTCCACACACATAAGGTATTCATGACTTTCCAGAAAACTTCACATTATCTCAACTACTTTTCAGTTAAATATGTTGCATCTAGTGAAGAAGAAAATAAATTGCAACAAGGTTTAATGGGAAACTATGGTAAGTGTATTGACACTACTAGAAACTTAATTATTTAAAAAGGACCATGTTATTACTCTGACAGTAAGGAAGAGTGACTCAACATTTGCACATGTGATAAAAGTGAACTACAACAGAAAGTGTCAAGAAGCAAACCCTGGGAAATTTGGAAAAAATTCCTCTTCAAATATCTGGTCCATCTTCCCTTAAGTTTCTAGGATAAAAGTACTTCTTTTATTGTTCTTTCTTTGAGAAATACATCTGCAGTACTGCAGGATGCCTGCTTTTTAGGTTGATCTGTCTGCATTCTTTCAGAAATACTGAATCAGATCTGTTACTTGGTCTGACCCTGTTTGTGGATCTTTATAAATATGATTGTTATGTTGCTGTTTTTGTTGTTAAATTTAACACAGATAAATTTACAGTCTGTTGGGACATAGTGAAACCTTGCTAAACTGAATATTTTGGGACCACATCAGTTTGGATGAGAGGAAGTTCCAACTTGTGCAACACAGTGGTTGCTTGTTCAAGTATGTATTTTTGCATATACTAAAAAATTCAAAGCATATGCAGTAAACGTGAAATTCTTAAAATTATAACAGTGGCTAAAGAACAGCGAGAGTGGCAAGTCTGCAAACCACTGAGTGATAATTTAATTACTGGGTTACAGAATAGTTAAATCCCATTGTGACCCCAAACTGAAAACTGTGTACAGTTCATGACCTGTGGACTGAAAGGAATTCAAGAATAAAGAACCCAAGCTTTTAGAACACATGACCTGTATCGTGCTTCAGTGTTCCCAATGTCAGTTCCTAACTTCTTTTTACTCTTTTTCCAGTTTAAAAGTCTCTGCTCTAATGCTGTCCCAAGCAGGACTATGCAGAATGCAGTATATGCTACCAAAAAGGTTTTTTATCAATGAAGTAGGAAGCCTAACAGCCAGGACAAGGCTTAATTTCATGTTCTGGTATGGTGAAGTCACTAGGAGTGCCTAAATAACAACAGCGGGGGAAGAACATATAACACATCCTCCTAACATTCTCTCACCCTCTACCCTTTTCCAGCTTGGGGCATTTCTGAGCCACAAGTTCTTTCTTATACTTCTAAGCATTCAGTCAGCCTCCATGGATTTCTGTTCCTTAAGCTTCTCTGTTGTCCCCTGTAGGCATACAAAGCTTAACATTTAGTGCAACATCCAAGGAGAAGCTGCCTCCTGCTTGACATCTCCCTGACAGCACCAATAAATCCTCAAAAAGAGAAATGGGTTTTCTACAGAAGTTCAGTAGTACCAACAGGAGCAACAGGTACTGGGACTGAAAGGAAAGAGTGTGTGCCTTCAAAAATAGACCATTAGCTCTGCAATCTCAGTCCTTGCATGGCTGTGTTGCCACTTTGCCATTGACAGATCCTCAACACTCACCAACTCCCTTGAGGAAGGGGTTTTTTTCTGTTTCTCTTTTCAAAGTAATTTCTATGTCCTACAAAAGTTGTAAAATGCTTAAGGATTCCTTGCTGGAAATTGCAATCCAAATATTGTATTTGAAAAAATCTGTATTTCAATATCCAACAAAAATGGTATCTAAAATTTAATAACAATGTAAAAAGAGATAGTAGTATGAACATGATACCAGTCATCATCTGCTGAAAAGTTATATTTGGCATTTATTACTGAATCATTTAAGACCTGTACAGGCAACTTGTTCTGACAGACATAATTTGAAAGCAAAAACATTGGCAATTGTTTTGTTACCATTGTAGCTGTTTTCAAGTACCATTTGTGCAGTGTAAGTAGAGGTATATATTTATATTGTGACTGGGACAATGCTTTACAAGCTTCCCAGAGGTTTAGCAATTGTGATTTATGTCTTCTCAGTCCTTAAATTATCTATGCTTGTAAGGATTTTGACCTGCTAATTTGCACTGCTGACAAATTCTCAGAAAGTCTCCATAGGTAGTAAAGCTGTACTAACTACTACTATTTAAGATTTTTTAAAAACTTGAAAGCTTGTATATTTCTTTCTTAATGTCTACAACTATTTGAAATAAAAATATTTCTCAGATTAAGTGTGTGCAGTTGGTACATTATGGAATGATACTCTGAAATTACTGTACAATTGAAATATGAGCTCACAAAGGGGTAGTCTGCAGCAACTAAATAGACCCTGAAAATTAATATTCTGAACAAATTTTCTTTAAAAGTTCATAATACTATTAAGGACAGAGAGTCCCTCAAAATTACAAATGAAACACCAGTCATTATTATCTCAATAAATGTTAGAAAATGCAAGAACCAGGCTTTTACTAGAGCCATCTTTCAGCATATTTCCTTCCTGTAACATCTGATCTTCTATGTACCGTATATCCATATGAAATTCTAAAATTTGGAATTAAAACATGTCCTTTAAAGAAACAGTAGACAAATTAACATCAAAAGTTGTGCATAACAATTCAGTATGCAAATGTCACATCAGACAGTAGGGGGCAACTTTCATCCACAAGTGGCACCTTGTTCATTCTGCTCTATAATATCATGACATGAATGGGTACTTTGAACACTTACCTAAGTTGACTGTGTGGTCTATATCAATTCTCTAAAATGGAAGGTTCCATTTTTAAATTCCCATTTTCTTCTCCAGGCAGTGTGCTGAGGAAATATCTGGTGTATATACTAGAAAAATGCTGCAAGATAAAATAACAAACTACTCTCAAAGCTGTTGAAAAATGAAAGAGAAGGACAATCCTATTCCTCTAGTTTGCTGTCAAAGGATTTCTGAGAGACCAATCTCAAAAAAGATTATTTTTTCACACTCACATTTTGATAAATAATTCTTCCCTGAATAAGCAATTTTTAAAAGCAATAATTTAACACTCTAAAAATGAGAACATGGATTAATATAGAAGTTGACATAAATAGCAAAATATTTACTAGTGATTTTAGCATGCATAATGAGATTGTGTTTAACAATGAATTCATATGTAAGAATAAAGTGATGTTCTATATTGTGTATCAAGTTAGAATCAGCTGAAAAATAAAACTTTTGCCATACATTTCCCCTGACAGCAAATGCTAAAATGAGGCATGTTAACAAAGGAAAAAGAAGTCAGACAAAAAATACTATTTTTCAAATGTGCCTCACTACATTATACAACTATCATTTTTAATCAAAATATTGCATAATTTATATCATTTAATATGCAAAGAACTGATTTACCTTTCAAAGTTATGTTTAATTTTTCAGTGATCAGTAAAGGAGTAGCACTGAAAATATTTTTATTGCAAACCCTGTCAAGTAGAGCAATAACACTTGTAATAAGCCCCCAAAACTACGACTAGTCTGGCAGTGAGGTTCACACAATGAAGTGGTCAGACCTCGGGTGAGTTTTTAGCAAATTTGGATAGAACCATTATTTCAAGTGAAGGATGTCAAATAATGGGAACCAAATCAGACAAACTGTCACGCTCCATTTAAGCTCCAAGCTTGAGAGTAAAACACCCTGGATGTCAAACTGCAGTGACAAAGTGAGAAAGTGACTGCAGACCTTCCTCCTAAAGTGGCCTCAGATCCTTCAGTAATTCAGGCAGGTAACTAAATTCAAGCGCCTTTGTTAGGGAATCAGAATAATTTATAACGAATGTCTTGTCTGGCTTTAAACCCAAAAAAATAAGTAGATATTTGCTTTTCTCAGTGATGCAGCTAACAATTATTTCTCTAAACATAACCCCACCTTAAAATATAAATCTCCCTTTTCACTTAGTGCACTTAAACTATTTTACTTACTAGACAGTGCATAACATAAACAAAGATTACAAGACGTGAATAGCATCCACCCTCCAGCAGTTCCCAAAATTTACTTGCATTTTCGTATTAATACTCCAAGAGCATGTGTGTACCTGGTATCAACAGTACTACTTTACAAGAAAAATTAATCATTAAAAGCATAGTAAAAAAAAAAGCAGACCAGACATTTTACCACAAGAGATTATCTCATGATCCCATAATTTCTGATGTTTAAAAATTACTGGGTGGGTTTTTTGAGTTTTGTTTTGTTGTGTTGGTTTGTTTTTTCTTTTTGCATTTTTCTTTATGTTTTTTGCTGATTTGTGGGTTTTTTCTTATTTTGGTACTTTTGGGTTTTTTTTTTTGTCTTTTAACAGTCTAAGAAGCATCATGCTGTCTTGTTGGTGTCTTTTGACAGGACTGAATTCAAGGTGAAATCAAACAGCTGCTTTCCAGCACCCTCTTTGTCTCCCCCTAATGTTTTTCTGTCTGTGCAGCCTTTCATGAGCTGTGTGCCAGGGCTCAACTTCAGTTCATTTGCCAATGCACTTGTAGCCAGATTTGATTTCACGTGGACAGTGGATGATGGGGCTGAGGAGAGCCATCCTGGAGGGACAACCACACAGACTGTGAATTTCAGTTATGTCCTGCATCTTCCCTTTGTACAAAATAACCTTTATGTGATAGACCTGCTAGTGAAGTCCTGGCAAGAATGCTTCCAAGGCAAAAATCCTGCAGATATTTATGGCAACCTTGTTTTTCTCTAATGTAAAAGCTTCAAGAAATCAGGCTCAACACTAAAACAGGCAAAAGAGCAAAGACAAAACCATATTCACACCATCCCCCCACATGCCTCCAGTATCCCCACCTGGGCCTTCCCTTCCCTTTGCATCCAAACCCAGGCCTGCTACAGATGCTGAGGAGAAGCTCAATGGGAAAGTTCACTTTGGATAGGACACCCACTTCTGTACAATGTTAACTTCTCTCTCCATCGTCCTTTTCATTTCCTAATTTTACTTTTTCTTGTTTCTTGTCTCCCAGAATATATCACATGTCAATTCCTCACCCCTAGACCCACCTTTCCCCTCCCCTTCCCCACTGACATACAGCAACCCCAAGACATACAGCCCATATTCATTGAAGGCACTCAAAAATCACCAAATCCTTTGCAGCTACTGAAGTTACTCTCGGGTAGACGTAACTCTTAAATCTCAGGTCCCACCTCTGCTTTCTCCTCCACCAGCTGTTCCTGCAGCAGCCAGGCTGCACCCTGCTGGTCTGTGCTTAGAGAGATTCTCCTCAACGTGCCTCAGCAGAAGTGAGAAATGTTATGAAAAGATTTCCAGTCCTTTCTGTTTCCTCCCAGATGATGGGCACTTATCTGTAGGAATTAGCTTAAATACAGCAGAACAGTCACAAGTAGTTATGCTTCTTCCTTCATTAATTGTAAAGCCTCATTTCTCACATGGCAAGCATAAAGATGGAAGGAAGCTTCCAGTAAATGCCGAATTTCAACTCTTATTTGAATAAAAGATTTTCTCTCAGCAACATCACAGATGCTTTTATTTGGGTCTTTTCAAGGACTGTTTCTGTTAGGAGGAAACAATTCTCTTGGATTGTCAAGCCAATCTGCTGCCTTCTTAACTACTAAACAAATTATTAGAGCTTAATCTCTTTTCCCTATATCTTTCTGCAGGTTTTTTGGGTTTTTTTTCTGTCATCACTGCAATTTGCCAAAATTCACTGAAATTTACAATGGACCAAGTAGAGAAATTAAGGTTATGGGCCTGGTTGAATTTGGACTTCCCACTTACTGCACTGCAAGTGAAACATGAAAAGTATTTTGATTTGTAGCATCTAGGAAGTTCTTGTCAACTTTCCCCGGAGCCCTTCTGTTGATTTTAAAACAAAACTCACCATCAGCAGAAAATCTGCCTCCCATTTCCCTGCTGTAGGGAGACTGTCCTTCAGAGAAGGATGAAAATGCAGAAACAGGCTTCTGTTCTGAAAAAAATGTGTTACAGGCTTCCTTACAGGCAAATTCTGTGCTCTGACTAAACAGGTCAGCTCAAAAGAGAAGATTCAGAGGAGATTCACCAAAGCTCTAGCACTCGGTGCTCCCCACAGCACATGCTGCTGTAGGATCCATCAACAGCTGTACAACCCTCTGTTACAGGCTCCTGTCATGTTTATCTGATGTTGTGAGTGGAAATATAATCCTACATAACTTTCATAAATGTCTGAAAAAAGCTCTGTTACTCCAGACTTTGAGACAATCACTGTAAATTCCATTCTAAAATAAATGACAAGTTACACTGACTTGTTTGCCTTAACTATAGATAGGCCTGCCAATATATATTGTTGCTGAGGTTGAATCTACTGTATGCTGATACACAACTGATTCTGTTTTATAAATAGATCCATCTTTGTGCATTTCATCTAAGATGGAAATTATACCACTGACGATACTAATTGGAAAGTTTCCAAACGGGTCAGATTTTGGTCTAATTTTACTAAAATAACTGCTTATTACATAGGAAAGGTTAAGGAATATTATTAAAATGTGTAAAGATTTTCTGTAAAGTTTTTCTGATATTTTCTTAAGTTTGCTGTGGTCTCTTTATTGTTTGTGTACTTTGTGTTTGGAATCAGATGCTGATTGGTGTCTCCTCCTTTCATTTCTCTAGGAAAATTGCCCTGTATATGGTAGAACATCATCTATCTTTCATTATCATTGAAGTCAAAGACTATCAGCTACCGTAGCTACTTATGAGTAGGTAATCAAAATAATCACTGGTTGATAACAATTCTTCAAGAAAAAGAAACTTGACTTAACTGATTTTTTGTAATTGTTGTAATAATAGAAAGACTTCATTTTTTCCAATGGTGTTTCAAGGACACTTCAGTTGTCGCTGCTTGAATATGTAGGAAATACCTTTGCATCCAACAAGAATGACATTTTGTCTAACTAGAAAATAGATTATTTTCCAAATCCACAAACAAATCATTGCTAGATCATACTTAAGACCTGTCTTGCACAGTTGCAGATATTGGACTACTGAAGTAAGACTTATTTTGACACCAATAATGGTCAGTTGTTGATGTTAGACCCCATTGCTCAGGGCTACATCCAGTCTGTGCTAGCTCACAAAAGGGCACACAGACAGAAACTGTTCCCTGATCCCAGATTGGAGACCCCTAACTCTGCAGGAGGCTGGACTAGAGACCACCTGAGGTCCCCCTAACCTGAACGATCCTATCCTGACACAGTATTGTGACAGAACTCCTACTATTGAGATCCACAAGCATTTCTGTTTGAAGGTTTGTAATCAATTACTTCCACAGACAAAATATCCTCAGCCGGTACCTGATCAGTTACAAGCAGCTCTTGTTGGAGATGAAATTTTGCTAGGAATGAGCTAGACTTTGATGCTACCAGATGCTGAGAGTTTGAAGTATGATTCAGCAAGGACCTTAAAAATAAAAAAAACCTTTTAAAATGCTTCTAAAACCCACAGATGCAGGATTCAAGTTCCTGAGAAGTTGTCTCGTTTCATTTTAAAAGATGGAAAAATAACTAAAATTTGTCATAAATAACAAAAAGAAACAAAAAGCAAAAGCAGTACACATGGGGCTTACTGTGCCAAAAGCAAATTTTTATCATGTGCATCCTAAGGTAATAACCTGAACTTGTATTCTGCAGTTAATTTCATACATTTATTTCTTCCAATTCAGTATCAGTTGCAGGATTGGGATCTAGTCCAATTGCTAAGAGCTAAAACATAAACAGTAATGTAGGTGAAGTCGTATAAAAATATTAATTATCTTTTGGAAAATCTCAAAAAACTGATGGGCAAGTCACTGTAAAAAGACCTGTCTGTAATTAAAACAGGTAATATTTCTCTGGCTCTGAAATATGAAATATGGTTTGTAGCAGAATTTTAAACCTGTATTTTAATTTATTTCTCAGTTCCAACACAAAACAACAAAATTAAATTTAGCAGTTAGTCTTGATATGTTTGGAGACTTCTTGAACTATGATTATGTCTCACTATGCCTTGAAACAATAAAAAGCATTTTAAAACAATATTATTATTAACTTTAATATTGATCTATGAAATAAGTCATAAATTTCGTCATGTTATATCTACTCTTATATAATGAGATAAGCTTTGACTTACTCTACAGCAAGATTGATTGACTTCACGGAGCTGTTACCTGGTTCATGATGTATTTACTTTCATAACTTCTGTTCTTAGGTTAAGGCTACAAAAGGTAAAGGCAACATTTAAAACAGATGAAGTTTATTTGAGCTAAAAAAATTTCCATCTTGATCAACATTCCTGGGAACCAGGACAACAGCAGTTATTGTATCACACCAGAAAATATTATAGTAAGTTCTTACAACAAATGGGAAAAGATATAATAACAAAACTGATTATTTGACACTGTCATTTCATCTTATGCAGAACCACTGTGGTGACCAAGTTACACCATAGTAAAAATTCATCTATTCCACAAAAATTGAATGTTAATTGAGTAACATTTTAAAACATGGTAGTACCCAACTTTAATATGGCTCCTTTGCACCTTAGCCTAGAGATTACATAGATGCAAGTTTTCTTCAAGCTATTCATTGCTAAAATTCAGACAAAATAGTATTAGGTTACATTTTCCACTTTCCCTGCACAATGTAGCATTTAGAATTAAGATTTAAGATCATTTTGGAAACACAGAGTAGTTAATGCAAGAACAAAATTTTCTGGTATGATCGCATGTTTATGTTGCATAAGATAATACAATCCATCTGTTGGGAAAATCCTTGCTGAATATTATATCTGTTTTAGCAATAAACATGAATAGAAATCAGGATTTTTTTTTTAAAATACAAAACTGAGTAACAGTGAGCCTTATGAAGAAATATGTCTGGGAACCTGAGGCAAATTATACATGTTAATGGTGGAGTCACTGAGAACAGTTAACACAATGTAACCAAATGTTAACTGGAATATTTTGCAGTAACTTAGTGAAGAGATCTGTGTTTAATGAATATATGAACGCTTGGTTTCTAAATTTCTAACTTCAGATGGTGAAGATTAAGTGTTAAGGGTGTTACTGTAAATGTTTAACTGAGATGAACATCACTGATTTTCTAATTTTACCACATGGTTTATTTCAGAAGAAAACAAGCACCAGTTAACATAGTTCTCCTGCAAGTCAGTAAACAGTCACACACAAAAACTCAATATAATTCGCTTCTTTGTTTATGTGCAGGATATTTAGTTTGGTTTGCAAAGTATTAGAAGAATAATAAGAACCTCCTGACAGAATACCACAACTAAATTTCTAAAAAGCCACTCAGTTAATCTCAGTGTTGGATCTGGCTGTTTCAAATTATTGTAATGTATAATAACAGTCTTATTGACAATATAGATGCACAGAGCCAAAAAAAGCTAGAAATAGTGGCCAAAATGATGAACTAAGTGCCAGCCCAAATGACAACAAACATATGGCCATTAACTGAAGAATGGAGGGGTTTAGGAATGCAGCTGTCTGTGGTCTCCTAAAGTTCCAGAGGAATGAAACGCTGTAAGGATTGGCAAAGTGTGGATGAGAAGTACTACTGAAGATGGTAGGTCCTAAAATGGAGTCAACCAGCAGACCATGCTGGAATTCAGATTTCTGTGGTCAGAATATATTCATTCCATTGGCCTCATAATGTACATCAACAAATTAATATTGTATGGATGTCATTTCAAAGCCTACTGAAGATGAACAGCCATTACTGAAGCCATTAGAGCACAGATGGTTCAAACTATATGCAGATATTCATACTTGCATTTCTGCATTATAGCAGAGTTTTTTTTCTGTTGAACTGTAATGAATTGTCTCATAATCTATTCCATCTTCTTGCCATTAGCAGGCTTTGAATGTTCACAAATAGGAGCAAAGAACTCATTTTCCAGAGCTTTAATCACACAAAGAGGGAATGCCTAATTCTCTAAATGAAATGGTCTGTGATCACTGAAGCAGAGATTTAATATATCACGGCAAATTAGGTAGATTTTAATAAATTACTTATCTCTCTGAATACTTTACATATGCTTATGAAGAAACATAGCCTGTTTGCAAACAGTAGAAATCCACAGTCTATAAAATCCTTTGAAGAAAATGACAAATAAAAAAGTAAATTAAAAAATGAAATGTATTATATCCTCGTTCTCAAGAGACAATCCTTTTGCAGCATTGATTCACAGCTCCATTAAAAATATCAATTAAATCCTTCACTGAGATTGGTTAAAAGCTGTAAAATTAACTTTCCACACTAGACAGTAGTTATTCAGATACAACAATTTATTGTATGTGTTTGATGTAAGTTCTAAACGTGACAAAACCCAAATGAAAACAGTTGCCCATCCCTAAAGCCCAAAGTAGGTGAAGCAAAATCTGATACTCTATGGCTTCTTTTTGTGCTTTGACAGATGCTGGCTGCAAGTAAATCAAGCACTGTACAGAAAATGATCGTGCCTGCCCTCCCCCTACTTCAAATTATGGTAACCATAAACAGCTGATTATAATGTTAGTAGAAGGGTAAAAGTTATTTAAAAAAAGGTTGCAGTAATTTAATAAGTCCTGCAACTAGCCTAATTTTTTATATTTAATTGATAGGAACTGCATGCATCAAAGAAAACACATACTGAGATTTAATGTGCATAAAATGGATATTAGCATTTTAAAGAGGCAGATTAACACATTAATCCAAGTAATTTTCATATATTGCTTTTAATAAAATCTTCACAGTATAAAATTCTTAATGAGGCTAATCACAGGCATTCCATTTAGTGGGGTGATTAGGGATAACATAAAAGTATTTTTAATCAGTTTTCTAAGGCTTATGGTTTTTTTATTAAAAATTAAAATTTTGACTTGCATTTTTATTACTGTTTTATGTAGGAAAAAATCTTAAAAATGCAAATAAAGCACATCGTTCAATCATGTAGGTATTAATTATTTACAAGACGTTGTCCATTGTGGAGATATTCTTAGCCTTAGGGGGGGAATATAAAAACAAACAGACTGAAAAGTATACAAAACTTTACAACTACAAATCAAGCGTCCTTTTCATATAAATTATACATTAAATATACTGTAGGAATTACAAAGATCTCATCTTTGATGCACTATCAAGCATGTATTTACACTGGGAGAAGGATCTTCTGTAGGCAAACTTCCTTTCATGCCTCGTAGTCATCTTTGCATTCCCCTCTCAACTGAGGGCAGCGCATGGAGGGCTTCCACTGCTCCTTTGAGCTTTCCAATTACTGCACTATCATCTTGTGAATCAAAAACTAGAGAGGAGACATTACAAAACAGCATTAGCAATTTCATTTAAGGTTTCACTTTTGTTCTCATAATCTTCCTTAGTATTTGGACAGATTAAAAGGCTCCTAGTATATGTCAAAAAAAAAAAAGGGGGGGGGGGGGGGGAAGAGGTAAATAAATAATAAAGAAAAAAAAGAAATCTTACTTTTCAGGTACTCAGCCTACTGGAAACTGAGCACTCGAAGAACTACAATGTACATCAATGAAAGTATCAGTGCTGGAATTAACTCTGAAATTAAGAAAATTATTTGTATAATAATTGCCTATATAAATAAATAATTTTTCACAGTGTGTAAATAAAGGTGTTCCAAGTTACATTGAAAACATTTATGCATAGGCAGAAACAATTTTAAGTAAAAAAACATACCAATGAATGCATTTTCTATACTGTGTGTATGATGGATCCAAGTCAGCCTGGACAATTATTAGTACGTAAATAGCAAGTTGTTCTTTCCAGTTTGTGCAATGCAAAATTATTTAAATTCCAAGCTTCTGTGTATTGTAAAATAGTGAAGCATGAGCAAAGAAGATAATTTCCCTAGACTAAACTAAGTACCTTCATCTTTGTGTATGTGGGTTTTAAAGTAGTATTTAAAATTTCTACGTTACAGAAATTAGCTGACATGATTTAAAATTGCACTCCTTTACAATATCTAAGTAAGCCCAGAGGGCCAGAATCTCTGCTGCTGTGATTAAAACATGCTGCTAAGTCAAAAATGAGACTCTTTCCCAGTCCTGCACAAAAAGCAATGAGGCTGCTGAACATGACTATAGAAGGAATTTGAATAAAAACAAATAATCTTGACAGCATATCTTTTCAAAGCAAATTACACAGCTGACAAATAGCAAGGTTATGTATTTATGTTTTTAATCAGGATAAGTACTCTGGGATATGCAATGATGCTTCATGTTGCAACTTCTAGGCTGCTGGGACACACAGAAGTGGGTTAGAGAAGGGAAAATATGGGGTAAACCTTCCATCACTTACCCTGCTGAAAGACCTACTATAGAACAGACTGGATGCTATTCTTAGAGATCCAAAGCATTTTGTATATTCTGAACAAGTCATTCAGTGAGATGTCAACTTCAGAGCAGACTTCAGAGGACAGTATTGTTTTTACTGTAAGAACAGCAGGATAGCTATAATTAATGATATCAAAACATTATCAGTTTTCATATTGTCATATTATCTCTGAGGCCTGTTGTTAGATGTCTTGACATCCTGTTGCTTAGTCATGCACTTAGTTGCTTCAAATTTCATAGAGGCCACTTCCATACAACCAGCAATGAAAGGAACAAGACATGAAAAAGACCCATGGTTGCAGTCCTCAAACAGAGTGAATGAAGCTCATGGTATCTGGGACTGATTACATCTCCGTATGGTCGTGTCCTATGAGTTTTTCTGTGTCTAAGTTTATTTTTTTTCCCTTAAACCAATATCCATCTCAGAGAACGTGTACATATTACTCATGAATTCTATTTATCATGTCATTACATTTAATTGAAGTAGATGTCCAGATCTTGAGAACACATCCTTTTCCAATAAATTTGTCCAAGAAAATACAGTAACATGCTCTTCTGCAATGATCTGATATATATTATTGCAAAATTCATTTCAATTGTCTGAAAGTCCTAAATTTTCAGAAAATATGCAGTGTTATATGTTAAGAATGCAACAGAAAAACGTAACTGCATAGCATTTGCAGAGAAGGGCTGAAGTGTAGATAAGAAAAAGAATAAAAGTATTTTTAGCTACTACTATCACTTTAATAGATATAAAGCACATAAAGTAAAAATTAGTTCAAATGTCTTATGATTAGGGGAAGAAATGCTCCTCAATACTGAAGTAGCTGTCATTACATAATAATGATTAGCTTTTGACAGAACAATAACTAGTAACAAAAACCAGTCCTTCCTGTCATAATAATTCTGTCAGATGATGATTAGAATTTTGAAGTTTTGTGAAAGGTGACTTTCAAGGGTAAATAATCATATCACTAATAAGTCTTGTCAAATAGGAATTACGACAATGGCCATTATGGCCTTAAAATACAGAACAAAAACAGTCTTCCAGTGAGAGACTACAAAATACCTTTTTGGAGGAGATGTGCTTTTGTACAACTACTTGGATAAAAATTATTGGTGCAGAAAAGCTTAAGTGTTCAGCCACATTAAGAAGTGCATCAAATCTGTGTATTACTTTCCTAGGGTATGGAGATTTGATTCTTTGCATTTTCTTTATCGTGTTCCTGGAACTTTGAGTATTTATACTCTTCTCTGAGTATTTTAGCTACTGCATGGATACAAATTGTACATGATAATGGAAATGGTAAGAAAGCCTATTTCTTTCCCTCAATACTCAGCTGCCCACAGCTCAAGGTATGGTAATTACCCCCAAGAGTAGAAGTAGCAAAGTAACACTGGCCTGGCATTCCAGTAGGGCTAACTGGAATTCCTGCTCTGCAAAGGGTACCTTGTGTGCTCTGTGTCCAGGCTTGGGGCTGGTTCATGCACCCACAGAGGGACTGCTTTATCAAAAGTATACTTTCAGCTTCTTCTCTGAGCTTCACCACAACAGGAAAGAGGATTGAAATGAAGAGGGAGAAAAATGCACCATTGATAACCATGACCCTGCTACCACAGGCAACAGGAAACTCTAAGCAAGGAGAATACTTTCCTTCACTGTCTGTGAGAAGACTGAGTAACCTTCTTGAGTCTTCTTAAGAGCACTACAAACACGCTCTCCAATGGCCTAGGGAAGAGAAGATTCCACAGCTCCTACCCACCTCACCTTGCTTTGGTGAGTTGGTGCTTTCTCAGAGGGGTGCTCACATTAAACTGAACCCTAACCAACCCCCCAATATTTCACACTGTCTTGGATACACTTTCTTATGGAGGACACAAAAGCTGGAGCTACTCTGGGGGTTATACGGTAACTTTAAATAAGATCCAAACATCAACAATTCAGGATTACTGACATAAATTTTAATAAATAAATAAATAAATATTTATAGTCCTATTACAATGAAGTATGTCGTACAAAATAGAGAATTACAGGAAGGTGACATGTCCTAAGTTTTATAAACTAATTACTAGAAGCTGGGGATACTGTTTGGTTTTGGTTTTTTTAAATATATTTTAAGGAATGACAGTAACAGTTTCTGCAGACTTTTGCAAACAAATGTAGGAGCCTTTAGTTAATATTAAAGAATTTCTTCTTGACACAGTGTCAAACAACTACTTTCACAGAAATGTAGACATTCAACAAATAATTTTAAAGCTACAAAAGTTTACAAGAAAGTGGTCTCTAAAACTCACCATCAATGTCTTGTTCAAGGGTATTTCTTTGCTTCTGGAATATCTTTTTCAAACAGATTCAACAAAATCAGTATCTTTACATTCAAGTTCCTGCTCATCTTCTGGGGTGTCACTGAGCACTGTAAATTTTAGGGTAAAAATGAAAAAAAAAATTCAAAAAGGATTAAAAATCAACTTAAGAAATGGAAAAAAGTCAAAACTGTATTTTGTGTTTAATTTTTCTGGTACATAAACTAGAACCCTTTATCAATTAAATTCAACATTTTTCCACGACAAGAATAGTCAAAGACCCTCTCTTTTAAGTCTTCCCTTCTTCTTTAGTGTTATTTAGCTATACTAGAAGGAGAAAGTTGTAGCTATAGGTCCACAGGCTTACAGAAATATTTTGGTTTTGTTTCCCTTCCCACCACCCCATGGTACAATTCTTGTTTATATGGCTATACAAACAATGACACAAAATATATGTGTTTCCTCTGTGAACTTAAATTACACCCATTGCCTCCAAGTATGGCTTTCCTTTCAAACACATAATTTCAGTATTGTGTTGGAGCTGGCTTGAGTTAGTGGCTTGTGCTGGGGCCAAAATCACCAAGACTGACAAAATGACAGGAATTTAGAGCTAACATTCAGTATGTCTTGGCAACAATGTTCAAACTATGAATGTTTGTGAGCTTTACAACCTAAAAATGTTACAACAGGCATAATTTTAAATGGGTAACATCAAATTATGTTACATCTAGGGACACAGGAAAGGACATCTTACAAAAAATATGAATACATGAATAAAGCTATGGATAGCATTACTCTCCTATATTTCTCTCTGGGATCCCAGACTTTCTCTCTAGCTGATTTCCACATTGCTTTTCTGTAACACCAGTTAAAAGTACACACTTCCTTGCAGGAATTCCAAACCTTATAGGAAGAAATTTTAACATCCTGTTAAAAAGCATCATGTGAGAAGATAATTTCTAGGCAGTACAGGAAAGAACAGAGAACTAAATGAAACTTGTTTGTCAAAAAAAGAGTGAAAAAACAGTGTTTTAAGCTTAAAACGTTCTACAATGAAATGATTATTTATTTTTTTTTTAGAATAGCACTTAAAGGCATTATCACCAGCAGATAATTTAGAGCAACTGGATGGAAACTCTTATGTAGGCAAATTTGATCCATTTTTTTTTATTCCAGAGATCAGAGTTTTTAAGCAGCAAGTAGAAAACTTTGTGCATGAATTCAGTATGTTAATGTGAAGCTCACACTGTACGCATGCTCTGTTCTATAACATGGAGGCAGAGATTTTGTTACTTTGGGGAACAATGACTTCATATAGTCTGTTCCTTGGAATAACAATCATTTCCCACCAAGAAATGATGCACCTGTCAGGATCAGCCTGGAAACCTCTTGCATAAAGCTGTTCACTCTTGTTATCACAGCAGGGTGACTGTTAGAAGAACGGATTCCTCCATTCTTCACATATGTCTCTCCTGACACTTGTCAGAAGAGCACACTCTCTCCTCCAGGTCTCAACACTTCAACTACAGTCTGGCATGAGGAATCAGGGAAGTTTCACTACATGACTGAAATTTCTACACTCTTAAACTGCTGAAAGACAACAGTGGAAGAATAAAAAAATAACTGTGACACAGCTACAAAAAGTCAAATGGATGGCCAGAAATGTGTTCTGTTAACTGATTTAGAGACCTGAACATGTAAGTAAATATTGATGGAGTTCAGATGATGAAATAATAATTCTGTATCCTGTTTTAGTGCAAAGTTTTACAAATATTAGCAAGTATAGCTTCCTAAAATTAATCAGGAATCTGAATCCCTATTATATAGAAAAAGAAACCCTAATGCTCATGTATGTTACATCATTCTATTTAACAGCATATTTTTCTTGATTTTTTTTTATACTGATTATTTTTGCATTTTCTGCAAGTAAAGTCATTCATTAATTCAAATGTGGAAGCAAAATCAACATTTCTAATAAACTTTAAAAATTATTCTGTATCAATAAATGAATTGGAAGAGAAAAATCAACTTCATTTTGAAATCTTATGTTCATGAACAGTGAATTCCACTCTAAACACATTTTAGACTGGATATTAACAAAAAATTAATCACTGAACAAGTTGTCAGGCCCTAGAACAAGCTGCTCAGGGAACTGGTGGAGTCACCATCCCTGGAGATATTTAAAAGTGCAGTGCTGGGTTAACAGTTGAACTCAATGACCTGAAAGTTCTTCTTCAACCTAAATAGGACTCTAAAAAATACATATTTTCCATATAAATTCCACGTCAACAAACATTTATTTATTTGTAAGCATAAAGTAAAACGGTATAAAGCTGTGAAATTTTCAGGGCCAAATTGGTTCAGTTTCAACTACAGAATTAGCTTATAGTTGCAACTTTGGCTTAGCAATAATTTATGTATTACAACAGTATATCTTTTTCAAGAGCTGTTCATTGAAGTGATTCTTCTTTTAGAAGACAAAAATAGCATGTGATTTATCCATTTATTTATGTTCTAATATGGATCCAATCATTATGAGTATCATTTCCAGCAACATTCATTGTGACAAGAAAAAAATAAATTAATACACTACTTAATACACATAATACACTGCCTATGCTTCTATAATTTGGCCTAGCACAAACACTAATAAAGTGTCAGGCTAAACCATCTGCAGGCAATTTTCAATGATATTTATATCCTTGATAATTTGGTTTCCTGAGCTTTAAAGCATTAGTTTAGTTCAGTTCCTGTTTCAGCTAAAAAAGCTCTGATACTAGTTTGTAAGGCTTGTGATAGAAAACATGTGTTGAAGATATAACTAGGCCAGGTTTAAAATGCACAGAGTTGGAAACTTTCAGTGTATGGGCACAATCTCTCCATAAATTTTGTTTCTTGGTGGTCCTCTTGATAGGATCAAGTGGGGAACTGGACTACTGATGAACTTCCTGTCTTCCTATTTAGACAATGCAGAGCTGAAATTTCAACAGGAGCCAAGCCAGACACATCAGTGACTGCAGAAAACAAGCTACAAACATGGAGGACAGTACCATGGTAGCAACACATAGAAGATGAATGCTTCTGTTCAGAGAAAAATCTCACTGCTGTAATCTTACCTTACTTTCACCTTAGGCTGGTAAAATCATTATTAAAAATATCCAAGTATTTATAGGAGAATTATCAACACACTGGCTAGATATTTTCCTTTGCTAATTTATCTGTCAGGGGAAAAAATTAAAAAACGAAAGGAGTATTTTATCCTCAGTATTGTCGAATTTTAATAGAACATTATCCATTTTCCTATTCTATATGGTAGAATAAGTCATCTGCTTGCTTATTAACTGAAGTATTTTTAACAAGTAATCATTTCATGGTGTTCCCTGCTCCATTCCAGTAAAACCTGTTTTCTGGCCAAGACATGAAACTCGGATCTAGAAATGAAATGAAGAGAGATCACTCCTCCTTACTGTGGAGTCAGTGATTTGTGAATAAATACATGTTTAGAAGATTTACAAGTAACTCCAACACTTCAAATACAATCAGCAGGTATCCTATTCTTCCACAAATCACATGTATTCAAGAAAAAATGTAATCAAAGGATGTAAATCATTCTAAGTCATTCTAAATCATCGTAAGTAATGTACATACTATCATAATAAAAAACCTGAATAAAAATAAATTTATTATTATTATGAAATTGGACAAGAACAATTTATATTCTTTCTCACATTCATTCACTTAATAGCTGCCTGCCTGCCTGTCTATCTGTCTATCTCTGGAAATTCTAGGGCCAAGGAACACTTTCTACAGCTCTAAGACTCTTAAGCAGTATTCTGAATTCAGAAAGCAACAAATGTACTACACTACACTGGGCAGGTAAGTGTTTTTCTGATTCATTAGTGATAGAATACTGGTGATAGATTGTCTCTTTTGCTGAACACATTTGTTAAAAACAAACCAACCAACCAACCTCCCAAACCAAACCCCAAACTACAGCACTAAACCAGCACGAGGTAAGGCTGCAGTATTCCATGCCACATGAACCTACACTTGGAAGAAATAAGAGCAATTGTCCCATCAGAATGCAGTTATCATTCCTAGCTGAAACAGAAGTTTTTCTAGTTAGTTAGTTAGGTATTAACTCCTCAGTCACATCTCCTCAAAAGAGACAAACAGGGTGAACCACAAGCAGTATTTACTAAGACCCACAACAGAGTTTTCCAGCACTAACATGTACTTGTCAGTGTGCAGATCTGGCTTTAGAACAGACCTGAGACCTCTTTCTGCACAATTATCTGCTTTAACCACATTTATCACTGCAAAGCAAATCAGAATTACTATTAGTATCAAATGTTTTTCACCTTTTAGAAGAGCATGAGGAAAAGAACAACAAAAAATAAATATTTCTTTCTTTTTTCCTAAGGAAAAGCAACAATGCCAGAATCAAATCTGAAAGGTCATGTGACCGAATGGTGTGTCACTGGCAGGTTTATGTGCACACTGTCAAAAAAGATACAAGTAGCATCTAAGCATGCCACACAGCTGTCACTTTCTGTTAATGGCAATAGCACTCATGATTTTAAAAGCCAGTGGTCTTTATTGCTTTGTATTTGAAGTGATTTACTGCATTTTCTTCCACTGAGGAAGCCAGTGATAATGATAATGTATGGCAGAGTGCTTGTCCTTTTTGACAGCCTCAGTAATTTAATCCTCCTTTCCTGCCACAATATTTCAATAAGAGAAACCTCTAGACCAATGGACTGGAGAAAATCCACAGCCTGGGGAGTGTGAGTGAGTGCTCTGAAAGCTTTTCATTGTTTTAATTTAGAATACAAACACAAGGATCAGCTTTTAATTTTTGTACTATTAATATGACCTAGAGAGAAAGTTAGCCTTGGTTTGGAAAACATACTAGAAGAATGAGAAGCAGGGTTTAAGAAATTCTTTAAGAAGTTTTTGGGTGTCTTCTATTAGACAAAGTAGCTACTTGCCTGTAAATGATATCAGTCTGCAAATAACAGCAAACTACTGTGAAAGATTATTAAAACTGAAAAGGTGTTAAAGTAAATTTAAAAACATTAAATAAAGAACTGGAACTGGAAAGGTTTTGCTAGGACTTAACTAGAATGAATACAGCCCCCTAAGAATCAAACAAAGCTCTTCAGAAGAGTTTTCATTTATTTCTCAGGGGAGAAGGTGGAGCTAGAAATTTGTCTGTCAGTAAACTGCAACATTTTTAATATTCACTTTCTTCTAGTTACTGTGCCACTGTACTCACTACAATTCTTTTTTGACTCTCCATATCAGAGTAAGGTTTCCTTTTCCCCTGTGCAGACAGAAATCTTTAACATATCTCATACTGTCTTCTCTTACCCAAAATAAACTTACTTTATAAACAGAAAGTATCAACTCTGCTATGGAGCTGAGAGCACTGGAATACAGCAACATGAGAAGATAAGAAGGCCTAAATTCCTTGTAGAGGGATTTATTGAAGGACATATCTCTATTAGTCCTAGGAAGCCCATTTCCCAGAGTTACTGATTTTTCAGTTTTCTCCAAAGCTGTTCCCCAGCCCTTACAGCAGTAGAACTGCTATTAGGAATGGGTTACTATCACAAAACAGCCAGTCCAGTTGCTGAATCATTCAGTCAAAGGAATCTGCAATTTGCCACCTTTTTCTCTACTAACAGCAGAGCACTGGAATTCTGTCTTTGAATCCTTGGTTTCCACTCACAATTTTTTACTTTCTTGGGTTAAAAGAAGCTGTTGTCATCTGCTGTTCTTTTGGACATGTGGATGACTTTCCACATGTGCTGCTCTCATGACCAAGTGCTCCTGAGGCCACCACAGGAAGTGATGGGGAGGCAGCAGGGAGACAGATGGACAGCCAGAGAACTTCAAAGGAAATGCCACATCAACAGATTCTTCCCCTTCCCATAAGCATCCCAAATGGAATTTCCTAAGTTTACTAATACTGTATCTATAACAATTTTAAATGCAAATTATTAACAAACCTAAAGAGTTCAAATTCATTTCACTCAATGGAAAAATTCAGAATAGTAAGTAAAACATTCGGCACAAGAACTTTATTCAAGTCTGGAGAAAATGATTAACCAGAGTGAAAATATATTTTTAGATCCTGATGAATAACATGCTTTCATAGCACCCCTTAGTATTGTCTGAACTTAGAAGCATTAACATTGCTGCAAGGCATGGAACATCTCATATTTCTATCCAATTAATTGCAAAAATAATTCAAAATTAACTTGTGACAGTTTGCCTCTAAAATTGTAATTTTAAAGTTAGTCTTAAAGAAGTACTAAAAGCTGAAGATTACAATGACCCTGTAACCTTGCTAGAAATCTCTGCAATTCAAAATATTGCTGTTCTGCTGTAGTTCAGTTTTTTTCATAGCTTACATTCTAAAAAAACTGAACAACTACCCGATGAAGAAGTTTTCCATCAAATGAAGAAAAAAATGCTCCACAGTCTTGAGCTAATTTTAGAAAAGGAATAAACACACAGAATTATAACAATGTTTCCTGATGCAAAGGCTTAACATTTGGGAAATCCACTTTTAGAATAGGGATCTTCAGTAGTTTATTTTAAATAAAAAGTACATCCCATCATTCCCATACCTCTCCTCTCTACTTCCACTTGGACTTCAAGTTGTTCAAATAGTCACATGTTCATCTAAGAGAGAAAAGGTTTTGAGGAAAGAAAGCTTCCCAACTAAATTTCATATAAAACCTTTGCCAGATTTCATATTCAGATTTCTTTCTTCTATTTCTGCTGTCTGCTCTCTAGAACCACTGTATCATTTGGCAAGTTTCACTGTTCTCTGAATGTATGGGCCTGTAGTGTTTGGAAGCATTCTCAGATATTCTAACAACTCTTTTCAGTGGTAACAAACACAACAGCTCCTCTCAGTCACTATGAACATCAGGAGGTACAACACAATGTCATGGGCAATCAAGAGGTTTGCACCATAATCCTGCACTGTCTAAACTTCCCCATCCAAGTTTCTCTTCCAAGACTCTGGAATAAATAAAATGATCCTCTAAATATTCTTAGTGAAAAAGTCATAGTTGAAAAAACCCAGTTAATGCCAAGTTACATGCTTGAACCACCTGTGAAAACGGAAACTCATGGGATCTTGTATGTCCAGATCACTGGAACTCTACCATACTGTTTTCAACCAGGTTCTGTTAATCTTCTGTATCTCACATGCCAAACAATGACAGTGAACAATGTGCAAAAGGTATGGGAAAAACTTCAAATGCTTTTTAAGCAATGAATATCATGAAGCCTTCTGCAACAGTTAAGATGTTTTTAAAACAGTCAATCTGTTCCAATTATAGATAATATAAAATGCTTTATTTATTGTAAGAATTAGTGATTTTTTTAGATTACTTATAGCCTTACTCCAATTTTCTCCATGCAAAAATCTAAAAGACTATTAGTTTCCTTCTAAGCTCAAAGTAAATTTCTTTCTACCCATGCAAATCTCATTTTTATTAAATATTCAATTAACCTCAAATATTCAGCATACTCAAATCTAATTAGACATGAATAAGAGATGCAGCAAAGCTATAGTAAACACACATGCAGATTTCATTACTATTATCTTACTGGCTTCTCAACTGGTATTATCAAAAAGCAGACTCATTAGGTTTTTCCCCCTATATGCAAAGCTAATCTTGAGTAGAAATTAGACATCCAATTATCTAAGCAAACCTCTACAAATAACAACCACATTAGTATAAAGCTTCAGAATACAGTCCTGAAGCAATTAAGACCAAACCCCACCTTTTAATATTGATTTGTTGGGATATTTTAAAGTTCAAACAGTTTTATAATCCGTAACCAAGCAGTAAATAGAAAAATTAAAGTTGCACAGCCAGGTTATGATTAGCAGAAATAATAAAATACAACACTACTACACTGGAAAGCCTTATGAATTACAGTCTTTCCAAAGCATAATGCTATTTTCAAATATCACAGCTTGAAATGTATTGAAGTTTCATAATTACCTTAAAATTCTCAGTGAATTCAGATCTTTGCAGAATTAGTGTTTTTTTGATGGTTTCTTTTTCTGTCCCTGGGCCTTACAAAGATCAATGTCCTTCTTGGAGTCACAAAAGTTAACAATTTTATGGTGGACTGAGACCAACTACTTTCAGATGTTCATTTATTAGAGTCTAGCATAAGCTAGAAGTAAATACCAATTTATTAGTATTAAATACAGTTGAGTAATTTCCCTTTTAAAAATGTCTTATTAAAGGTACTCTGAGTATTCATAAGTGAAGATCACATCCATTACGTATTTTCTCTAAATGTATTTCAGTTGTACATGGTTGGACAAAATGTATTCCTTTTGCTGTATCATGTATCAATAGAAAAATTAGTTTGTTGTGCTCTTTCAAAAAAGAAAATTTAGTTATGTAAAGCCTAATTTTAAAATGTATGCACTACAAGCATATTTAAATATATTGCAGTTTCAATTTCTTACACAAGCCTACTTTTGTATTGTAGTCTATACTTAATAATTGCATCCTTATCTCAGTTCTTAAAAACCATCTTCAGCATTTCCCAAAATATTTGGAAGAATGACAAATAAAACCAGTACAGAGATAAATGAAAATATAAAGTATAGGAAATAGGCTTTGTTGCAGGCATTTTCATAAGACAGAATTTTAGGGAAGGAACACACCTGCTCAGGCATAGGTCCCACTCACCAGTGCTGTAGTTACAGTCACTCCTCTGACTACCTGTTGGGTTTGGAAATGATAGTGGAGTGTCCTCTGCAGGGAAATTGTTTCATCTGCATTCTACACTCAGCTGCTGTATTATTTCATCTGATGTAATTCATGACTTTATAAAACCAAGTGATGTAATTTTAATCCAGATTTTTCAACTTCCTATTTAAAAACAAAACATAAACAAAAATAATTATTTAGTGTTTCTCAAAGTGTTAACACAAACCAAACATACACGTGAACCATTGGGTAATTTGTAGAATTAACACCGATGGATTGATTTGACACAGACACAGTAAGAATCTACCCTGTTCTTTGCAGTTAAGAATACAGTTGATACTTAAAATATTTTTGCAATAGTCATAGTCTACTGAAGAAGATTAGGTTATGATTATGTTTATGTACTAATGCCATCTGAACCATTAATTTCAGCTGCCATTATTTTTAGCTACACAGCAAAGTGATCCCGTAACTGTCGGAAACAGTTTCAGTAATAGCAGGCACCAAAATTTTCCAAATGGAAGAGAACTGTTAGTGCCTACTGCACATTGTACCACATTCATTAAAAGTCCACCAAGTCAAAAAGTTGTTAGGCATGTAAAGTACAACTGCATTTAAATGGAATTTAATGTCATATACTGAACTGGACTAGTTAAATCAAACATACCTTCAAGAGTTAAAATTAATAATATCATAAAACTAAACACAACTGTTCCTCGTCAGACTTTTATTATTCTCTTTTACATAAAATTACATTTTTGCTTTCCATCTCACACTATCAGCAAGGTCTATGGTTTTGTATACAGATACATTGTGATAAGGTTTCTGTATTTAAGTGTGAATATCAGACTCAACAGAAAGTCAAAAATACTTCCCTAGGTAATTTGAAGAAAGAAAAGCCACTCTGGTTTCCAAAGTGGAGTATGTAGGTGAGCACTCAAAGACAACATTCTTCAAAGAGCAAACACAACATGTTGGAGTACAGAAACGTCAAAAAAAATTCTTTTTACTTCTTTCATTTCTTTCAAGTTCATACCTTTATTAAAAATATTTCCCCTACGTGGAAGTATTTTGACAATTTTTGATTTTAAACTTAAATCACTTGACGTATTAATCATATGCAGAAGATTAGCTTTCTAGATTCAGTGTTCGAACTGCAAGTCAATATTCTAATTTATTATGGAGATAGCTTACATTTCCCCAAGCAAATTATATGATTAATCAAACTGAAAAGCAGGTGTATCCTATTGTAAAAATATCCATCATATAGAACAATTTCCATTGCTGTCAAGTCCTTTCAATATTTGATGAAGTAATTTTACCCCCTCCTTTCAAAAGACATTTCCTTTTATTATGTATCCTAAGACACTTTAACTAAAAACCCAAATCTGAATATTTCAATAAGGTTGTTTTATTATTCAGTAGATTCATGGAAATTTTACTAGGATGACAGAAAAAATTCTACACCATTCTGTCTCCACTAATACAGGTACACGGCTTCAGCTGGCAATATTACTGGGATTAGCATAGAATGATGAAATATTTAAAAGGAATTTTTTTTTCTAAAATCTAATAAATCAAATGACTGCCAAATGTCATTAAAGTGATGGTCTCTGACTTGAATATGCTTTTCATATTCAAATTTGAAAAGAAAGAGATGAAAGCCTGGAAAGGTTACTCAGTTTCAACTAATAACCTCAAGCACTCTACATTCACATGCATAAAAAATGAAATTGGCTCTATTGTCTAATTTTACTTCAGAAACAACTCTTTTCTTCTTGCACTGAACAGATGTATTAGCATCTGCATTTAAAGGGATATGCTGAGTGGTTTTGTTCGCCCCAAAGTATTTAGCAGCTATGTCAGACTAGTTTGTACACAGACAGTAGCTTATGAATCAAGTCCAAATACAATATCCTGTATTATAAAGTGTTCCTTTTACATATCTTAAAATTTGTTTGACATATTTAACACTTGTAATTGCATACAGTAGGCAAAGAATATTACACTTTTTCAAGGCTAGTAGGGTAAATCCAGGCATTCTGCTTTCTAACTTAAACCAAAGCAAAAAACTATTAGATAATTATAAGAAAAAATAACAAATTATCCTGGAGCTTAAGTGTCAAGACTATTTTGAGTCCCAGTTTAACTGATATTAAAGGTAAATACAGCATGTAGAAAGCAGAACATAAGCTGATTCCAAAAGATATTTATGAATAAAAAATACTGCTTAAGAACAGCATTAGCTATCATATTTCATCATTAACACAAAAGCACTCACATTATGTAGCCATGCTGAAAATATATGCAGTATACAATATATGATAGGATTTAATTTTTAAACAATCATTTATATTTCTATGATGCAGAGTGAAGTATGTTATTTAAATCTATTCCCAAGCTGATTTTTTTTTTTAAGCCTTGTCTTATTTATTAGGTACTGTTCAAGAGGACAATAGATAGTTTGCCAACTACTGCCCACAAATAATTCTATTTAATAGGAATAAAATTAGTCTTTAAATCTAGTATTTAAAAGAAAATATAATACAAAATTTCACCTAACACAGAATGCGTAGATATTAAAATAAAGAATCATAAATGTTTTCAAAAAATGTCTCCGAGAAACTGGTTGAGAGCTTTCAGTTCAGGTGAGGAAAAAACTAAAACATGGGTAAGGAACTTAGTCTATGTCAAAATGCTTTCTCCACCATTTAACACTGACTCTTTGTAATTAATGCTACCCAGAGATTTGGAAGAATCACTGAACTCCTTCAAAAAGCTTTAGGATTAGGTTAAGTATTAAATGCATTGACATACATTTCAAATTGAAATCTCAACTTTTCTCGTGTTTCTGATTTCTGATATTAAAAACCCCTTGGTTTAATTCTGTAATTAGCCTTGACTGCTATCTTCAAGCACCTGTTTATTCCATATTTTGATTTCCTTTCTGGTCACAATAAAAGGCTAATACTTTGATATGAAAAATAGAATTTCAACTGTCCCAAATGCTCAACACGATCCTGCAGAAGTAAGTATTTAAAAAAATAAGTTTGTGATTTCTGCACAGAACAACTGAGTTGAAAATACCTTGCTTGTAGGATCAACATTCCTAATTTTTACATCCACAGTTTTAACTAATACGTTGCCTTCAAGAACTCAAAATAAAGGGAACTTCTAAACTGTAAGATCAACTGGAATCCTGTATCTACCAATGCTCAAAAGTATGCATGCTTTACTCCTTAGCATTTTATATATTTATTTGGACAGTTCACTTCTATTTCAAGTACAGAGCACATAAGATAAACTATGAGCTATTCTTCAATAATCACAAGTAATCATCCATTTGCTATCCATATTTCAATCACCATGAATATTGATTAACAAATATATTACTGAATGAGAAATAATCCTCTTTCTCTATCAAGTGCTGATTCCTGTGATCAATTTATTAACAATGTCAGAACAGAGCCACAAAGAATGCAATTACAGGAATGTCAATGTAATTCAAGTGTACAGAGACACTAACATTTCTCATTAAGTAACAACGATTAACAGGGCAACACAGAATCATATACACATAAAAATACATATTGAAAAAAAATTACTCCAGTCCTGTATGCAGTGACTTTTCATGTGAGGAATCCCATCCTCTATTTTCACCTTTCCCCCGACACTGGTGTAGATGTGAGAACAGGAAGAGTGATACAGAAATGCTCCCTGCTCCTCCTCCACATGGATGGGACTTTAATGATGTGCATACACTGTAGACTCTCCCTAAGGCCTGGGACAAAGAGATCTCTCCTTGTCTAATAGCTCCAATGGAGCTGGATCCCTACTGAAGGACTGAAAGGCACAAATCATCTTCCCCAGCATCACTGTTTGCCATGGGCCAGGAGAAGAACAAAAGCGTCTGAGATTAGCACATGACGACCTCTTCAGCTCTGACTAGAATTAAGAACACACTGAACAAAAAGATCTATTTGTGATAATGAAGGGATCTGGTTGTTGCCATTTTATCTAGTGCAAAGGCACCATTTTTCTGACCAGTGTAAATTCAACTTTAATATCATCAAAGGCATGAATTACTTGCTACAGCTTGAGCCAATTCCATGATTAGGTACTGGCTTTCTATTCAAATCTGCAATTTACCATCCATGCACTCTTTAACTTTCCCAAACAGAAATTTCTAATTCAGTATAGAGCACCAAACATTTTAGAAAATAGAATATTCTTGAGGGAAGTGTTAACTTTCCCACCACAACCATGACAACTACACATCTGATCATGAAGTCACATTTGCACTTTGCTCACAATAGAAATTTTGATCACTTGCATAGTGCTTGCTTTCTCTTCAGCTTGCCTCACACCCTTTCTGAAGAAAATACATATAATTGTTCAACGTTTCTCATCAAGTGGAATTAATTTTGAAGATTTGGCTTTGCTCCTTGCCTGTGGCACTGCCTCAACTAACAGATTTTAAAGATAAATTGTTTCAAGGGATGATTAAATACAAAAATATAAATATATCTGGACCTGTTTGGTGAGATACAAACTTGCAAAATTCTGAACGTTATCTTCTCCCCAAGAAGGTGGGAAAACTACATAAGCAATATTGTTACTGTCCTGAACACCTAGTCCTGCAGACTGTCTCAAAGAGAACATTTCATTTTTGAAATGTTTAATCACTCATCTTTGATTGCTCCATCAGCAAAAATAAAAACCAAACACCAACTCTATCAAATCTCAAAGCCAGTTAGCTACACAAGTACCAAGCAATCACACAATTAAGACATTCAAAGGCTGTGCAAACTTAAAACAACCTTTCATTTCAAAGGGAGGCATAATTCTTAAGCTAAAAAAGCATGAAAAGCAGAAAATTCCTTGAGGAAAACAGATATCCATACATTTTTGGTACATTGAAGTTACAGAAATAAGATTAAATAAGTAACAATATTAAGTAAAAATCTAGTCCAAGACAAGTAGAATAGGATTTCTGTCTTTGTCTATACAGCTATACATGTATTTTTTTTTTTTTATATGTAGCTCACAGACTTCTGTCTTGATTTAAGAAAACAATTAAATTTCAAAAATTTGTATTTGAAGTTAATACATTTAGGAAAAAAGTACCTCTTAGTATGGGAAGAAAGCAGAAGTATCTGTATAGCATCTTCCTTTGTTAGGAGTGCATCTGTAGAGAAAAACTGTGTCTAACTGCACATTTTTTATGTGGTTGGTTTTCTTACTTAGAGTTTTAATACTTAGTATTTGATACTCTATCCTCCTCTTGTCATTACAAAATTGTGTGAGAACAATACAGACCTTCATAGATGAATAGAACTTAATTCTTTTAATATGCTTATTGTGAAAAAATGGTGCTTGGTGATATTTATCACAACTAATCAAACTCAAACTCAGTTTCAAATCCCATCCTTTGCTTTTTATACCTCCAGTTAGAAAAATATATTCTTTTTGTAAAGTCACCATAACTTACTTCCATGTCCACAAGCTCTGATAAATAGATTCTCCAGTAAGCAACTGAGGAGAATTTGAATTCATAACCTCAAAAAAAATTTACAGCTAGGTTGAGAATGATTCTGGCTGATTCTTTTCCTGTGGGCTTACACATTCAGCCTTAAATCTGGCCTTCTATTTAATTTCATATTCTGACTAATTAGTTTTGTTACCTAAAAAATAATGGGCAATTACTTAAGATTCTGTAGTTTTCAATCATTTTAAAAGCTGGTGTTTGGTGGTTTTTGGTATTATTTGTCCCTCTTCTTTCATTTCTTCTATCACAAAGAATGACTTGCAGTACATGCTTTCAATTATAACTTCAAAGTATATTTGACAAGGGCTAGATAGAAGTTCTAAATCCATCATTTCAGCACAGTGCCTACTCAAACTTCTGTCATCTCACACTTTATCAGTTGCAAAACACAGCTAGGGTATTTCCTGGATTCTTTAATCTTTCTTTTACTTAAGTTTCTGGATTATAGTGACCTGCACAGCAAACAACCACCTTAAAGATGGAGAATGGCAAATGGTTCTTTTTAATCTTAGACCAATCAGTAGTCTTTGTATGTACTGACTACAAAGTTTAACAAGTTACTTTTATCATAATCTGATAAGATGGTTCTGTTTCATAGGTTTTATTTCTTGTTTTATTAAATATGCTGGTATAGCACTTTTACTTCCCTAATTACTTTCAGAAGAAAAACACAAAGCAACAGAGGCTAGTTCTAGACAGGAATAGGAGAATACAAAGAATTAGTATTTCTGGTACAGTTGGGCCAACTCAGTAACACAGGGTAATACTAAAACCCTAAAATTTAGCTCTCTAAAAGTCAGATTAGATATTTATAATACAAGCCAGGTTGAGAAAAAAAAAAATTGAACATTCAAGCATCTCCCTGAAATACAACAAAGAACCGTGTGCAATTTGCATTGGTTTTTTGCTGTTTAAGAAAGATTGCCATGTCAAAATTAGTTACAACTTGAGATCTTAACTTACAGGTACAGGTAATGGCTGCTATCAGTAAACTGCTATTAGAGCAAGAGAATGCACTTATGGTATCTGCAGGAAAAAAAACCAGGAAAAAACGGAACCACTACCAAAACAAATTTGGTTTGCCAGTAATTGTCTCATGGAACATTTTAAGACAATTTGGAAGTTGATAGCAGTAAATTTTATTGTGAGAATTGAATGCTATATATTTTCCTATATGGATATGGTACAGACATGGGAGTGCAAAGGAAGAGGGGATGGAAGAGAAAAGACTTTTTTAATTTATTTTTTTTAATATAAAGACCATGCCAAAGAAAATGCAAATTCCCAGTTTTGATGTCTATTTTGAGGATCTGAAACAAGGCTTTTAATCAATGTATTATACATCAAATTGATAATGTTAACTTCTGATTATTCAAATGTATGAAATATTCATAGAGAACTGTCCAAACTTTTACATTTCTCAGACTTCTTTTCTCTATTAATTATCATGCCTGGAAGCTTTTTAGTAAAAGCAGCAGCCATCAGCCTGACTGAACCTGACAAGCTAGCAAGGCCCAATTACACTGGCACTCTGTGGCACTTTGATGTACTGGAAACGAAAAGAGATAGGGGCAAATTGTATAGCACATTATGTTAATGACTTGATTTAATCCAGCCACTAAACTTTATGTAGCCTGTTAAAAAAGATGCTAACACTAATTATGCCACTTTGGAAAGGAAAGAAGGGGACAAGCATTTCATACCGACAAAGTGAAGCTCATAAATGTTGTAAATGAAATGAAACAAAATGAAGTAATCTATGATTAATCATACATCATAGACAAGAAGAAAAGAGAAAGAAGCAAGTGGTACAGTTAAGTACTGGAAAATCTGTTAGATACCCTTTATGATCAACATATCTAAGAAATAACCATGAACTGTCTAATTTGCAACATGCAAAAAAACCTCAGTATGATCTTAAATGGCTTAAACAGTTTGGCATACAACTCAGATTTAGGGAATAATTAGCATAACGATCTCTGAAAATCACAAGTTTTATTTACAGTGTTTGATTACCAGCAGGATATTTATCTCAAAAGATAAAAGGCAGTGATTTTTAATCTTAAAAAAAATACAAATTCAGTAACAGTTTTGACATGCTGTATTCTACAATTAACCCAAGAATTTATATCAACCAATGCACATTTTTAAATCCAATCTGTATCAAATACACTATTGTCCTAATAGTTCAGAGGTTTTATTGTTTTATCTACCCTTCATGAACATGCATTTTTGTTGCCATAGGAACAGATCAATGGAGAAAGGTAGAAATTGATTAACCTGAAATGAATCTACACACAAAGTTCTTGCAGAAGTGTTCTTAAATAATTGTGATAAAATAAAATACATGATGACTAGAAAATTACAGAAAAAGTGTACTATATTTTGACTTAATAGAGATGAGTAGCAGTAATTTTAGTTTTCAAAATTACAGATGATAATTTTTCAACATTATACACACAAACAATGTAATTCCATCTTCAAAAGTACCTTCTGCATCTTTCTGAAGAATATATGAGTGATAGCATTCCTTAACCTCTTCTACAGCTTAAAAAAATAACATCTATATTTCTAATACAACAAATTGCTTCTTGTTGCTAGTTGCTTTGTAGGATGCTTCACAGCCTTGAAAGGAGCATTTTAAAAAAATCAAGCTACCTCTAGGATATCACATTGCAGAACATTAAAAACCGTGAAGTCTGATAGGATCTAGCAGTACAGCTCTGGTCCTTTAAAAGAAGGCTAAGACAGATCAGAAAAGTATTAACTGTTAGAAGTACTGTCATCAATTTTAAGTACTAGTTTTATATTTTTAAACATTGTTCAGTGAAGGTTAGATTAAAAAGTATGAATTGATTTTTTTTTTAACAGAACTATCCTACTCATATATATATTGAAATACTGTTCAAAGTAAGTTTTCCAAATTTGTATTAATGTCGTCTTACTTTTTATATATGTCTTCATGGTAATTAATTGCTGGTTTTCATAATAAGTCAAGAGAACATGATTAGTGCACTTGACCACAACTAATAATAGAAAATGAAGTACACTGAAGTGATTTGATAGTGTATATATTTAACTTTTTGAAAACTGATGGTAGATATAGAAAAGCTACTCTTAGAGGGCATTAAGTTTAAATTTTTTTTTAGTCTGGCTAAATAAATTCCATGAACATTCTGACTCATCTGTTTAATATTTGTGGATAATGGACTTGAAATAATACAATCATTGCTGTTGGTTTTTATTGCTTCAAGAGCATCATCACCTGGATCTGAAAAACATTAGAAGAATCAATGTAGTTAAATCCTGTTATTGTAGTCCATCTGACTTTTGCTGAGGAACCTGATAGCAATATAGGTGCTTTATTAACAAATGAAGAATAAGTGCCAGGCAAATATTCTCTTCCTTGCAGAAGGTTAACCCTGCAAATCAATGACCTTTGGAGTCATCTAAACAGTATTTTATTTCTGGTTTGGGAAAAAAAAAAAAAAAAAAAAGAAGTAGTGTTTCCTAGATGAAAGTTGAGGAGTAGATTGCTGTAAGTCCTGTGATGAACTGAAGGATGAACAACCGTTAGCTTTATACAGGAATATGGCCTGAATTTGTGGATTTCCTCTGACTGTGTTTAACACTATGCACACATACTTCTTTTTTTTTTTTAAATAAAAAAATAGTTCTGCATGCAGGTGGATTATTTCAGAGTATTTTGGGGCTTTCTTCTCTGAAGCACATTACTTATGAACACAACAGGGATTCAACATAATGTTTTCCCAATTTTTCTAATGTATTCTTACACAGAAGCTGCAAACAAAAGAACATGAAATTTAAGCATTATGTTTGTACTTTTACTGTAAACTTGATATCATGGACTTGGTTTATTTCAATGATAAACTGTTTAAGCTCAGAGGTGGAACAGAATGACCTGTCTTTTATAATCTTTAAAAAAATCTGCCTCTAACAACTTTAAGTCACAAATATGATAAGACATACTACCCCTCTCTCTGTCTGGAAGGATTTCCAATAGCAGCATTGGCTGTTATCTGCAGACAAAAGAAGCATTTTCATTAAAATAGTCTTTAGAACAGCATAGTTCTAAGGGAGAATATAAAGACATTTAAAATAGAAGCCAGGTTTCCTTTAATATTTTATGAATCTAGGTCAGATACCAGATTTTTGCATTCAATTACAATATAGTTTCCATTTGGGAAGAAAATAACACCACCATATCCACTACCCAGCTTCAGCTATAAAGTACACCAGAATATAATTTCTGTCATGGAGCTTCTCATAATGAGGCAGCTCCCACTGCTAGTAAGAAATGCTTAAGAAAATGGAAAGAGACACAGATTTATTAACAAAATACAGTTACTTATTCATAAAAATGAATTCTACCTTCTGGTTCCAATTCTTCAGTTATTTCTCTTCTCATTTCCAGAAGTAATTGATGTTTGGTCAGCTAACTGCTCCTCTCACAGATGTGAGAGCTTTTCTGTCTCCTGTTAAATTCCTTCAGCCATCTCCACCTTATCTGCTAGCCTTTCTTGTTTAACCTCCTGTCCCGTATGCGACATGAAAAGATAAACTTACAGTCTTTATAACAGCCCTTGAATAGCAAAACTTTAATAAGTTCAAAACTGGAAGAGTTATGGCCTATATTCATTATGCAAAGCCTTTAAACAATGGTATTGCTTATGCAGCACAGGAAACAATGAGAAGTTGTCAACTGCAGTAACAAATAATTGATTCAGTAAAAAGAAATTCTCTAACGATGTATATTTGTGAAAACATAACTATTATAATCATTTGGTACCTGTCAACATATATACAGCTTCTTAGATTTCCAGATTCATTTATATTTCAGCTCTTTCAGTTCCAGAAGACGCAGTTAAGAAAAAAAACAACAAACCAAAACCAAAAAATCCCACTCCATTACTATCTTATTCAGTTAGCAATCTTACAACTAAATTATACAATATTTTCTGTTTCAAAAGCAAACTAAAATCACTTAAAAAAGAATCAGCCTTGTCACACGGAACAAACGTTCGCTAAGGTAAAATATCTTTAGTCCATAACTTATTCCAACGTAATCTTACTCCCTTGGTTCCCTTTGAGTTCAATAACATACAGTAACATCTCAAGAATGGATACGACATTGCAGGGTTATGTCCAGGATGGAAACTTAGTGATGACTTAGTGAAGTCAATCATGTTAAACCCTCCAGAAGTGAGGCCCCTTGTGCTCTCCAGGAGCACAGTAGCAGTTCCAGCATCTCCCTCTGCATGGGGCACCTCCCAGGGCTCACACACCCTCCAATCTGCCACACTAGAAAGACCATCGCAGACATCCACACATTTCCAGCATCTTTGAGGTCTAAATGCTACTTGTTAGGAAACACAAAGAGATTTGATTTGATTTACTCATTGAACCTAAGGTAAGTACCTCTTAGGTTGGTAGGCACGTGTACACACAGAGATATAGGTGCACACATCACTACCTGTGTATGGGAATTGATTATGGTATGAATGTTACTATCTCATATCTACAGCCAAGTCATTGTTACAATTGTAGTGAACCCTATGGAATTGCTCAGTAAATGCTAAAATACTCAGTGATTAAGTGCTGCTAAACTCTTTTGCACCCTTATCTGTGCAGCCATATCTCGGCACACTTACCCCCCTTTGCATTCCTGACTCTAATCATTCCAAATTGCTTCTAATTTGATCTTCCTTTGTATGCTTTAATCTGTGTAGTAAGTGAGCCTTGCCAACAAACTCTGTAAAGTCATGTTTCCACAAATTCATACTAAACCCTGCTTTTGCCAAAACCTTTGATAGTGTTTCTCTAAGTGGCCAAACCACTTGTTCACAATACCTATTTAGCTATATGCTGAAGTCACTCCATTTATACATTATTTCCCTCTGCTATATATTGGTAAGTTTTAGAAGGAAGGCAAAACAAACTCCATCCAAACAAGAGCAAAATGTGCAGGATCAGAAGCTGGACTTTCACGATCCTTGTGGGTGCCTTCCAACTCCATACGTTCTACAGTTCTGTGAGATGATCCCCCTGTGATCCCTTCCAACCTTAACCACTCGATGATTCTGTGAATACTTCCGCAGTTGCAATGATTAAAAGCTGTAATCAAATCCTAGATACATAAGGCTTAAAGGGTATTAAAATATCTATGCAAGCTGCAAGAACTTAGTAGCAATTGAAAGTGCAGTACCTTGGCGATATAGTTAGAAGTACAAGAAGCCGTGAAGTGGCAATCTGGGGAAGGCAAAGATTGCCACTTAAACATTATGCCCTTAGAAAGGACAGAGGATGGAAAGCCTTGCCTAATTTTCCACATTCAGCTTAAACAAATAATAGCACAGCCCATGATATTTTCATGCTCTGAATATAATTTTAAATTTAGCTTTACATACAGCCCATGATATTTTCATGCTCTGAATATAATTTTAAATTTAGCTTTACATAATCAAGATGTCAGTAACAACTGCCAATATGTAGTAACTTCATATTAATGTAGCCTAAGGTATCTAGATAGAAGAAAAATGTATTATTGTAAATGCACACAGCTGTAAATAAAAATCAGTGTACACTGAAAATACTAAAAATTTCTGAATTAACAAAGTTGAAAGACTATTAAACATAGCCAAGGGCCCATGCAGGCTTCATGTAACTTTGTACGGATAGAACAGTGGCTTAAAATTTGAGGGAGACTGTGAGATGGGCCTCTTTTCCATAACAGCTTTCAATGTAGAGGAGGGAAGAAACACTGAATAAAGAGTAAGTACTAACCCAACAGAAGAATAATAAGTGCAGCTGAAAAAATATGAGCCTCATTCAGCATATAATCTGTATTTGGTCAATTTTTGTACTTAAAAGCTAGTCATAACTTCAGCATATTGTACAAATGTTCACTTAAAAGGCAGCTTTGAAATCACCAGCAATAGAAACTACACTTTTCTGGGCAATATTCCGAACTTCTACATAGGTATGACCTCACATCTTGAGAAAATATTAGATTTTTTCAGAAAAATACCTCTTTCTACTTTGATCTTGTCAAGGATTGCATTTTTGTCTGCTAAATCAGATTTGATAGCCATCTCTAGTTTAGCAATTTGCAGTTTCATTTGCTGTTCCTTTGATTTCCATTGCTGCCCATGGGTCATACAGAAGACACTGTAATAAAACATATGGCATGTGAAAAACCTTTGGAAATCAGCTTCAACAGAAAATAATAAAGAAAAAAGCTTTTAGTGGCACAGAGACCACTGTCATCATGTCTTAGGAATTAAGTAAACACATGCTGGTCTGCTGCTGTTGAAACCAAGGCGCCTTTCTCAGGCTGCGGTTAAAAAACATGAAAGAGTTTGTGGGATGAGCAAAGGAACTGGCCTTAATTTAGAGCTCCAAAGTCAAAAAGTTGGCAGCATGCAACATTTGTGGGACTAGAAAAGGAATTCAGATGCATATCCCAGAGTAATCCACAATTCCAAACCTCAGCAACTGACAACTAACAAAACCATTCTTTCCGCATACAAAACCTCTTAATGTAGAGAACTGGGATCATCCACCTGATTTCTTTTAAATCTGTGAAACATGCAGAGCATAAAGTCAGTTGCCTGTTCAAAGAAAAATGTTGACCACAAAGTGACAACAGTTTTCTCATACTGTAAAACAACAATTCTGATATTGATTAAGAAGCACATTTAAAGTAATCTTTCTCCTACTTCAAGAAATAAAAACCAGAGGTGGGCCAAGAAATTAGAATAACTATTTTGCCTGTAACACATTATTTACTTGTAAACTATCAATCTATGTGCAATGAGGATTGTATGGACACAGAACTAGAACTGCTGAAACCACAACAAAAAGTATTATTCAGATTAAAACTAAATTAAGTACATTATATAATTTACAGTGTAATTCTCAGTAGGCAAAAAGACAAAGCTATGCAATAATTTTTCATATAAATTAGACAGTGAGTACTATAGTCTTCATATTACTATATTTGCATTCTTATTTACTGGAAAAATGTCGATCTTCACCAAGCACAAACCAGTTTATTCACTTTAGTACTCTGAAAAATCAGTAATTGTAGGGTTTTGTAAACAAAGAAAGTAATTTCCTCAATTCTTTGGCGAAGCACATCAGCTAAAAAACCTTATATTTTACATACATCAATGTATTAAAAATCTTCTGATATCTATTTATCTATCCACTTATCTCTTCAAGAGATCTATGTTGACAAGCCTTGACCACAAAAAGAGAGGAGAAAGAAATGCTGCACAAGGGACAGCCCACACAGGTTAATAGACTCTACATGTTGACTGAGAGTTCTGAGTACCTGTATTTATATATTTTATTACCTGTATTTATATCTCATATATTTGAATAATGACTTTAAGATTAAAGAAATAAAATATTATAGCATAAATTGTAAACCCTAAAGTATATAGGGTTTATATTTCTGATATGTATTTTTCATTAAAAAGTTGCATATCCCTGTATTTTGTCTTTTTCTGATATTATATCTAATCCATGTACACAGTTCTCTAGGTATAGAGCATTTTATAGTATGACTGTTTTCACAGCATGCATGAATTTAAGCAGTTTCTAAGTCCTGCAGTAATTCATACATCACTCTCCTATAATTTTGAAGGTAATATGCAGGCAATATAATACAATGAACCATCTACTATTCCACAGTCTTGCAAAGGTACAGAAGAGACAGTGTGTTCTCTAATTGCTTAGAGTTTGATTGGCTTCCATAAGGAAAGCATAACTGTCTTCAAAACAAAAGAAACACTGTCAGTTTTCACACTTCTAAAAATGTTCTCAAGTTTAAATGACCACAATACCCAGTTATATGTGAGTTCATCAACTTTAGGTACAATCACTTCACATACGGATGCAGCCAAGTATTAGTTCAGTTTCTTAGAAGACTGTGCTGGCAGAAAAATCATTAAGCATCATTAGGATGGTAGTTAAGAATTTTGATGTTTAAATGAAGAACATTTTAGAAGACAGGTTTTATCTGAACCCATATAATGCTAATGTTTGTGTCAGCTTGAATTGAGTCCACGTGTGTTGCTTTCTTCTTTTGAATTTTAAGATTACATTTATTTGAATTCATGTGGAATTTCTTTCATATTTACTGTATTTCACTGGAGTTGGAGCCATCTGTGTAACTATAATGGTCAACCACATCTGGCACCATTTCCTTTGGAGAGACTTTAAGCATTGCTAGATTTGCATTACAAGGTCATATGAAAACAATTCCTCCAAACCTTTTATACAAATGAATTGTTTTCTTGGATACTGACTTAATAATAAGAGTGAACTGACAAATTCATACTTGTTCTTTGCAAACTTTTCAGATCCAGTTCTGCAGTACTGGCTTTGGCAAAATTTCCATCAACATCAAATAAATTTCCCAAAAATAACTTTAGCAAAGAATGTGTTTACACACCTTTTCCTCCATTTGAAAAAAATGAAAAAAAGTATTATTTAGTGGCACCTGTAGACACTGGCCTATCTACTGCTGGCACAGGTAAGCTCTAGTAAAGCTGCATTGTCCAAATAGGCAATGAAAAGAGCTGGCCATTAAATGGTGGTTATATAATCCTTCTCTTTCTTTTATTGATACCTATACACTAACATGGAATGATGAATGATGAAGCAATGCTTATATGAGAGTATATGAAAAGACAGATCATTTTAGTAAAAGAAACACCACAGTATAGATTACTGTGCTATAAGGGGAGCTTATTTTCAGTTTCTCTTGTTAAATATCTTTCTAAGTCATCCCATTATGTTTTTAAGTAGAACAGAAAATTTCAAGCCAAGACTGTTACATTGATTTATTAGTAAGAATTATTTCTTTGAATAAATGGTAGAAAATAAACAAAAATATCATCAGAAATATTTATGACATGATCAAATTTTGGAGAAATCTCCAGCAATCAACTTAAGTGAGAGACAAGTGACCAACTTCTCTGTGCAAAATTCTAAATATTGTGATTATAGAACTGCTGCACCTCCTAAATAAAAAAAAAAGAGTTCTAAGTGATTTGTTCTCACAGTTTTTTACTACTATAATTTTTCAGTTCACCGTAGACCATATAAAAAAGTATGCCAAATATTGTAAGAATAATATGAACACAGTTACACATGTGCAAAAGCACAAAACATGTATAGACACATTACAGCACACAGTATATTAAGATCTATTTAAAAGGACCAGAATCAAATTTTCTGTATCCAGAAACCCTAACTTACCTTACGCAGCTTATGATAGTTTTTCTTCAGGAGTTCATTCTCTTTTTCTGGATTGTTTAATCTTTCCTGTAATTAAAACAAAGAGAGGTTTCAAGTAATGCACAGCACAAAAGGAAATTACAATGAATGTGGGAAGAGAAATAGCAAATCATTTTTAGGCACTGCTACTATTTGTTCTTTTAATACAACTGTTTCTTAGAAGCTTCCAAAGAACATAAATCCAACATGGATTTACATTAGGCCCAAAGTCTTTTTCATGCTCTTTAGATGAAGCTGAGAGTAGCATGTTGCAGCTGATCAACAGTATCATATTCTGTCTTATGCAAAACAATATAAAAACCTGGAGAATAATATTTTTGAATTCCCTTTTAGTAAGTGAATATCAGTATTAGCTAGGGCACAGCTTTTGCATAGAAAATAATTTTATTGACATTATAGAAACAACACACCCTTGCTTCCATGACACTCATTACAGCAGGATATGGTTTAAAGACATGAGATACTTAAACTGAGAATATCTGCTCTCCATACATTACAACACTTAATAGGTTTGGTGAAAATATCTGTGCGGTAAATTTGGTACACATAAAATACATTTATAGTAGGTAAAGCAGGTGGTAAAACTATATTTGAGTTGCTACAAAATTCAAGAAAAATCAAGGAAGTTTTCACGGTCTTATTCCTCATCCATTGAAGAAAACTGGGAAGAAATTATTTGATGTATCTGGACAACTTGTCAGTGATGACAGAAGTCTCTCAGAGTCACTAGACTGAAACAGAAGTGACTGATTTCAACTGCTGAGTAAGATGTTACACTATAATTAAATCAGGTTCAAAGAATACCAAAAACTGGAAATACATGATCAATAAACTAAGCATTATGATTTTCTTTTCTATTAATAAACCACTTGTTTAGAATCAGAATTGACATGGTATTTTATGCTTTAACTTCAAATATTGTCCCAACACTGGTGTTTGGACAATGGGGCACAGGGATCATGTTTGGTTCACAAGTCTATGAAATACAAACAGCAATTTGGTTGCAAGTGTTCCTTTTGAATAGGATAAAAATATACATAGTACCATGTCAGTCTTGTAAATATATTTGAAAGGTCTATTTACATCTCCTCCATTGAAATGTATCCCAACATTTATTTTTCTTTTACTGTACACCTAAGGTAAAAGATTCTAGCTCTTGCCCACAGCCTCATCTCCTCTGTCCCACTGTTGGAAATAGTTACTGATTTCAATTTATTTTGAAGATGGAACCATTTTAACTGCCCCTCTTTAAGCTGTTCACTCAATTCATCACTTTTTGCTAACAAGGCATCATGGTTGGTCTTTAAGTTCTTTAGGCTCTGTGAAAGGGAGGGAATATCCAGAAAAAAATAAAATAAATCACACGTAGCAGAATGTTATAACAGAGCATATTCCAGCAGTGGTCTCCCCAGGCAGTATTTAATGTATATATTCTCAATGTGGCCAACAGGAGACACTCTTGATCCAAGTAACTGAACACATGGCTGAGGGAAGGTGGCACTCTTGGGGCTCTCATGAACATTAAACCCTCAGTTCAGCCATGATGAAAACAACCAAGAAATACATCTGTTCAACAATTAAAAGATTTTGCTGTGGTTATGGTGGTTAGACATGCTGACCAAAAAACACTGCAGCAGCAAGCAGAAATGAATGTTGACCACAGTTATGGTAATCACAGAGCTTGCCACAGCTCTGTTAACCCTTAATTGTAGCTATATAATTGTTTCATAATCTTAATACGCTCACTTCTATTTTCCTACTAGTAGTACTTTAAAAATGGACTTCTGATTTCTTTTACATTTTCATTTATTTCAATGGATGACATTAAGGCACATTTAACTAATTTTAATATTAAATGAAGAGTGCTGATAGAACCTCTATTTTCAGAATATTAGTTAATACTACAGTGGCTACATTCCACAAGTGCTTTAATAAAGCCTCATTCATTAAGAATTTCAATGTAAATCATATTCAAAGTACAACTTGAAACAACAGAGCACAAAAGCCAATCTTCTGTTCTTATAAAAAGAGTCTATAAAAATTTATGTTAAATACATGTATGTGTATAGATAGTGCTTAATGATTGCAGACAGAATAAAGTTAGCTTCAGTTTTTTCAATATAATACTTCCTACAAAGTAGTTGAATAGAGGCTGAATCTGAATCCTGTACAAATTGCTTAGATTCACTTGAGTCTCACCATACAAGAAGCAAATTAAACCCCATTGAATACCAATCACCAATTTAATCTTCAGCATTTCATATCTCATTCCTGAGTTAGAAAATATAAGGTAGAATAAACAATATTAGCAGTTAGTTTTATATCACAGAGTTAATAGTGTCTTGGTCATCAACAATCTTTCTTCAGTCCTGTCCTGCTCTGTCCTGTACCTGTGAACTCTACTGCAATAGCTTCAGTAAATTACACCTTAGAAATGTTTTTGACAGTCTTCATATCACTCCATATTTTGTTTTCTTTCTTATCAATATCACAGTCCTTAAAGTCTCTAACCCTTCCAACTGCGCAAGTGACCTCATTTTTTCATTCTCATCTCTCAGCTTCAATTTTTTACCTGAAATGCTCTTCCATTTTAACACATTATATAGGAAGAAAAACAAACAAGTAGCCACCTTGGAAAAGCCAAGGCAAAGCCAAGAAATACTAAAACATGCTGTGTTGGTAATTATGTTATGTGCCATCTAAACCAGAAATTTTGGATTTTACAGTTATCTACATTTAGTAGACATGTCTCAAACATTAAAATTTTTTGAAATGGGAAAACCATTGGATTCTTTCTTTTATAAAAATAGAGCCACAGAAAACACTCATCCTACTCCGAAATGTACCTTTCACTGTGAATATTAGAAACAATGTCTTCAAATATCAATTTGAGTCCTATGCACGTGTTTCCATTCAGCTGCTGCCCAGAAAGAGGCAAAACCACTTGATGTTTGTTGTAAATTACTGGAAGTTGCATACGATTTAAAATGGAACAGTTATCAGTTACTTATCACTTTGTATTTAAGAACCCAAAAAGCCATGTGAAACCTGTCTCCCCTGGAAAACATAGCTCACCCTATGGAAAACTAAATTTGAGTGCATTTAACAGTAGAGCTGGTTTGGCAGAAAGGATATAGGTATTATACCAAAGAGGGGAAGAAGGCAAAGCACAGCAGAAGGTAGAAATAAAACACGAGGAAAAAAGGAATGAAACAAAAATCTAAATGGCAGAAGTGTGATTTAGAACGCTAAAGAGTAAGAGCAGTAAGAGTTTACAGGGACACCTGGTGCTTCCAGTTCATAAGGCTAGGATATGCTACAGAGCTCTACTGCAGTTAGGATTCCCTTACTTACAGGAACTCTCCCATTTCCAAGCTGCCAGTCATACCACTTCCACATGCACATGCAGTTCTTCAAATACATATGGAAAAAAGCAGGCAAGAGCTGTATAACTAAAACCTACTGAGAATCTACCATGTAATTGCATGTTCTGATGATATTTTCATAAAACTTTTCTTTTTATAAAGAAAATTATTATTTATAGTAGCCCCCTAAAATAATTTCCATGAACATAAGGACACAAGTTAAAACCGAATTTGAGAACAAAACAGCCAAACCTCCCTAATTTTATCGAAGACTAATAAAGTGAGGGGGGTCTGGTACCTCTGTTTTTGGTAAATTAGTATATTTAAGTCAAAGATCTCTTTAAATCATCAGGAGTCTCTTTCAGTAGCCAAACAACTCAGTTAATTCTTCCCAGTCTGCCTGGGATGACTTTGCAGATAAAAGCACTAATACCTCCTAGACTCTTCTGAAAAAAAATCCCCAAAATTTAAGTCTAAAAATCCTTCCTCCATTTGAAGCACCTTGAGAAAAGTGTAATAAGTGGCTTATTTTCATGTACTTAGTATTAACTCAAAATCATGAACTGTGTATATTTTTTTTCACATTTACATCAGCTTATGTGATGAGAGTAGAGAAATGTACTGACTAAATTCCAAATATCCCTTGAAACTGGAGAAATTTTCTTTCCACTGCTGAAAGAGCATCGCTTTTCTCAACCAGCCATTTACAAACCTTGGTAACTTCCACACTGTTCCAAATATTTAGTCTTCAAATTTAAAAATAAATAAATTATGAGCTTAAAAATACAAAATGAATTATCCTAACAGTTTTCTTTTGAAAAGTTGAACTCTTTTTGCAAATCAGCTTTCTACAATAGCTTTTTCAACTCCAAAAATTTGTGAGATTTACTGTGTAATGCTCAAATTGATTTCTTCTTCTATAATTCACATTACAGAATGTAGGTAAATAAACATGATGATACAGCAGCTTTAAACAATGCATCAACACCTTTGATTAATGTATAAAACAGGACATGACAGAAAAAAGCCTCCATACTGTACTTAAAGAGATTATTTGTTCTCCATTCACTTTTCCACCTCTGAAGTATTACTTGGTGGCAGCAGAATATCATTTTATGGAATTTCCTCTTATAGTTTAAACATATAAAATTCTGCTAATAAAAGGGTCTTAGCAACTTGTAGAACCTGAAGGCTTGTACTCAAACATGCTGCCGGTGTGTCTTAACTACATGAAAATAATATTTATGCAGATATAATTCTAAGATTACAATTACAAGATCTGAAGATAATTTGTATTAATATAAATTATTATAAATTCAAATAAATCCTTAACATTTGAAAAGGTGTTTTCTTTCCCAATATTCATCAGTTTTAGACATATTGGACATACTGTCACAATGCCACGCTGGAGCAAAAGAATGGACTACAAAACTTACACATCTGTAAACCAGCTGAGTACGTGAAATATTTTCCTTTTATTCTTCAAAATATCAAATGCTACCATGTTTTGGCATTGCCCAATTAATTGTCCTTACACAAAAGACAAACACAGTCACAAATCTGAGATCTTCCCCAAGAAACAGGCCTAACTCAATGCTAAAATTATCATGTGTTTAAAACATGTTATCTACATACATTAAAGTTGTGGTGAGTATAGACAGC